CTCTCTCTCTCTCTCACTTACCAATCACAGCCAACGATAGCACATAACGATCGATATCTTTCGCATTCGATGGCTGATTTGCCTGCAGCGATACATCACGCGCCGTTCGATACAATTCATCGCGATATGTTATATCGATATTCGATTCTTCGATTAGATGCATTAGCGCACCGCGTCGATGGGAACGTGCACAAGCAAAATGCAGCATACTTTGTCCGTGTTCATCGCGGTCATCGAGATTGGCGTGCGTTTCTTCGTCATCTTCCTCATCAACGTTCGGTATATGATCCTCTTCTATGCGATCTTCATCGCCGCCGTTACCATTGTAAACACCCTGCACCGAACCCATTCCCGTGCGTCGCAACAAGGGCGAGTTGGATCTAATTGGCGCTGTCGAGTTGGTCTTGCCACTATTGCTTGCCTCTATGGGATCGCGTTGATGAAGATAATTTTGTAGATAATTAGCAAGGAATGCGACAGGATCTTCGGGTCGCTTATTGGCGATTTCGGTGAGTGCTTTGATGAGTGGGTCAGCTAGATCTGTAAAGCAAAGGAGTGGGAGAGGTGAAGTCGTCTTTAATTGCGCTTCGGCACCACATTTATATGTATGCATCTCTTTAAGAACTCACTGTTAGCCAAATATTTGCCTTGCTCGGTTTTGAAAATAGGATTCAGCTGGCTGCTAGCATTTTCAACTTGACCTAAAAATGAATGAAAGTGATTGGTTATAAGAAAACGCGTATGGCTATGGCAAAAGTGCATTTTTACTATACAAGCAGTACATATTGTAAAAATTACATTAAGAAAAAGCAAAGTGCTTAATGATGTAAAATTAAAGATGGTGCACAAGTAGATGCGCACATATTTAAATGAAATATGCTTTATATATGTATGTACATGAGCATATTATTTATATATTTAAAATTTCTATAGCAGCACGACAAAAAAAAATTGTTAAAATTCATAGGGACACTCAGCTGTAACTAAAATAAGTGAGCATATATTCATAAGTACATATGTGGGATTTCATATTTGAACAAATTAACTTCTTTGGCACAGAGTTGTTAACTTCTTAAACATGCAACATCATTGCGTAAATAGTAAATTAGACTAAATTGTTATACTGGAATAAAAAGACGACGAAAATTGTCGAAAACTATCCAGCGCTGCCAAGTTTTTCTGTTTTAATGAACTATTTAGCCGTGCCGAAATTTTAGGCACTGCCACGCAATTTTCGATAGGACTCGACATTTGAAATAAATACGACTTGCACTTGACACCACGACACTCGCAATCAAGCTGATTGAGATTAAAATTAAGATTAACATAAACATTAAGACTAAGATTAAGATTAAGGATAAGATTAGGATTAAGACCAAGACTAAAACTTCGATTGATGTTAAGGCTAAAATTAAGATTTCAAATTAAAATTAAGATTAAGATAATAATGAATATTAATTCAACAATTTCATTGAGCTTGAGGCCATTTTTAATGAAAAATTTTATGGAAAAACAACAATTTACATTTTGCTGGAAGTTATAACTGCCATTTGGGAATTCACCACACCTCTTCATCAGACTTCTTCAACTGGGATTCGATCCAACGACCGCAGCTGCCAAAGCCTCTGAGCTAAGTTCGCCACTTAAGTACGAGTACACCTAAAAGTTAAACATTCTAAAAATTATTAAGAATTATTAACAAAGACCAACAAAAACAACAACCGCATGATCAAGTGTAAATAGGAGCGGAATTGCTGCGCTTGACTGTAGTTGGCTTAACACATGGGAAAACGTGGAAAAAGCAACAACAGTTAACGTGGTGAACTTAGCTCAGAGAGGGTATGACTACTGGCTTTGGCTGATGGGGTCTTTGGATTGAATCCCAGTTGAAGAAACCTATTTCGAGTACCTTTAGAGAACCTTCTACATATTCGAATGGAATAGAAAAATCGGAAGAAACGTTCGACTAAAATTGTCGAGCTAAGCGAAGACTATGTTGAGAAACAAAATGCGGTTTTGTCAGAAAAATATCTTCTACTTATTGCAAAAAGTCACTGACTTAGCAAACTGTGCTCGTATTTTTAAATTATAACTGTTTCATTTTTATAGTAAAAAATATTATAGCAACAAACTTTATATTAAACAATTTTATTGCGCTTGAGGTCGCTTTTAGTGAAAAGTTTTTGTGTAAAAGTAAAAATGTTTACATTAAAAACGGCCTCAAGCTCAATAAAACTGTTTAATATAAATTGTTATTAGGCAAAAAAAAAGTATTTAAAAACAATCGAGGTTGAGATCATTTCGAAAAGGTGTCATTTCAACTGGCAAGCCTGGCATTTATTCTGCTCTCTTAGTTGCGTGGTTACCCTAATGAATTTTTACTTCATCGAACAATTCAATTTCAACAGAGCAATTCTGGCAACTGCCTTGCAACTAACCACAGTCGTCTGCAAGACAAAAGTCTGGCAACTGCCTTGAAAGCTCTTTTCTGTCCTTCGAACGACTTATTGAAAGATCTGCTAACGAGGAGGTCTTAGCGTTATTCCGGTTGTCTTTTGGCAACAAATTTTGTAAACTTTTGTGAAACTAAAAAAATAATGTGTACATACATATCTAAGTAGTGTTCCTTTTAAAACAATAAAAAGTAGAAATTCAAAAAAAAATTTAATTGAAAAATGAAAACATTAACTTAAAAAAAGAAAACAAAAAAATAAGTCTCTAAAAAGAAATCAAAAACAAATTTTCTTTTTAAAGTAACATAATATAAAAATTAAAAGAAAAAAAATAAAAAAAATTTAAAAAAATTATAAAAAATAAAAGAGAGAAAATTTGAAAGAGAAAGAGAGAAATTGAAAGCTATATAATTTTCAATTTAAAACAATAAAATGAAAAAATGTAAAGTAATAAATAAAATAAAATAATAAACCAAACAAAGAAAATTTAAAAATACATACATAAAATCCTAAAAATTAAATGAAATGAATTAGAAAAATATGTTGCTTTTTAAAACAATAAAATATAAAAAATAAAAGAAAACTAAATTTAAAAAATTTTAAATAAAAATAAAAGGACGATAAAAAATATTTCTCTAAAAATTTAATGAAGAAAATTGAATTAAAAATAAAAAGTTAATGAAACAAAGGAAAAAAAAATAAAAATCATTTAAAAAAAATTATTCACTTTGAAAAAAAAATATAATTTTTTTAGTAACACAACACAAATTTAAGCAAAAACATGAAAACAAAATATAGTAATTAAACATATGAAAAAAAGTGTTCCAAAAATTAAATAAATTCAAAAATAGAAAAAATAATAATAGTTACTAAAAATTAAATTAAATTAAAGAAATATATTTGTAAATATTTTTCAATTTGAAACAATGAAATTTAAAATTTCCGCTGCCCGAGGAGTTGAACCTCGGATCTCCCGAATGGTACTTTGCTTAAGCCATTGCGACTGTTGGAGAGCAAAATAATATACAAGTGTTTTCTGCCAAAAAAGATTTTTACCATAAAAGTTGGCAAGGGTGATTTTTTGACGTCTTTCGTGGCAGAATAAATAAAATCTTTGAAACTTTCTTGCCAACTGTAATTTAATTTTCTTACAAAGGACTTTCTTAGCTTTCTTAGAATTACCCTGTACAGCAAAAGCCTATTTTATCTTCATTCGTAAGATATAAGCACAAAATAGGTGTTAAGTGGATGCTCGTAGCAAAGTTGTTGGTGGTTTCTTAAGCATTTTTTCGATTAACTAAATAGCTTTAATTATTGAAACTGCACGTCTCTCTGTAGCACAAACATGTTATTTTAAGATCTTTATAAGCAAAATAAACTCGGTAAAAACTTGTATTTCAAATGTATTTATTAGTGTATAGGTAAAGGTATAGAGTCAACGAATAAACCGAACTTGCAACTTAAAAAAAAAAACTAAAGCATTTAGACAAGGGACATTTTTATGCAATAAAAGGATACAAAAATTAAACAAAGGACACAGCACGAACAAGTGAACATTCTAACAGTGAAATCTAAAAAAAAGTGTACGAACCCGAATTTGTAGCAATCAGAGTTGCACAGCGCAAAATGTCTCAGAAGCATGGTGTTTTCAAATCAATTCTATTTGCGTTATATGATGATCTGCAGCAATGTAATAAACTAAATTTTCATGAATTTTTTACTTGCATAATTTCGTGTTTTATTCTTTTCGTAGCTGTTAATGGTATTATTGTGTAAACGCTTTGCTAACGTAATGTTGGTTTCGGCTTCAAATTTCTTACATTTTCATAGATGAATGATTTGATATACTAATTTGACGAAATTTCATTTGCTATGACAACTGTAAATTTGGCGTTTATATATTGAACACTTATAGCTAAATTTTAATTAGGCACGTCTCCAGGCCTCTAAATTATATTCTTCGATTCCCTTCTATTTTGCCCACTCCTTCAGCGCAGTGTCACTAATTGCGCTCCATTAAACTATTCTTCTTGCGACGGAATATTTTCACCAGCATTGAGGCGATGTGCTTCGAATTCGTCAACGACATATCCTTCTCCAGCGACACAATATTAGTCACAGCCGTGCAATAGTCTTGAAAGAGCACATACTCAATTACGCCCAAACTTTGCATATTCACCAATTGTACTTCCGATTTTGCCACAAAATTCGTAATCAAGTTGAGTCCGCGCACCGAACAGAGATGCCGCAAGTTGTCCACCTCTTTCATGAGATTCGGCAACTTAATTGTTGTTATAAATTTCAAACCTGTGCCCAGATAAGATGGACGCGCCTGTAGATAACCCAAAAAGTAGCTCTCTTTAAAGTGCAGCTCACGCTCTAGAAAGCGTATTACGCGTCCGACACGTGTGTAAGCGGCGCCCATATTGGCAGCATTCGCCTCACTCGAAGTTGCAATAACGCGCAAGTGCTCCTGACAGTTCAGCCATAGTGCTAAATTGTTTGCTGAATTAACATAAACGCCACGTCCGTATGGCCAGAGGCTGCCATTGAAAGCCACTGACTCTGCGGCCTGTACGGTATCTTTCGTATCGGGTAGCGGTATCATGAGCCCCAATTTGCTTAGTGTTGCACGTATTTCGGAGTTCTCCTCGAGTATTTCAGTCAACGTATAGTAGCTGCCCGACTCCGTTTCGCCGATCGCATCAACGAATTGATTAGTAAATATTTTACCCATAACCATGCGTTCGGCTTGCTCCACCTGCCCTATGGTCAAGTTTAACGGCAATTCAAATTGTTCCAAGTTACGCGAACACTCTACGCTGCAGCGTTGTATCAAATTTGGCTCATCATCGAAAATAAATGCGGCAGTATTTAGCCGCACGCCATTCTCCATGGGAAAGAAGGCGATACGCGGATGTGGTTTAAAATCTTCATTGACGCTCATGCAATGCATATCCTTGATGAGTGGCACAAGAAATTCCTGAAACACGACAAACACATCGAAGTCTGGCGCAATGATGCCACAATTTATGTCCTCTTCAAGGCGACGAAGTATCGAGGTCTTACGCATTGCTGGCCAAATAACATCAAAAAGATTGTGATCGAGTCGTGTTTGTCGTAGGCGAATTTTCTCGAAGACGCTTCTCTTCATGAAGCGACTCAAATAGCTTGTGACGGAAAGTTGCATGGTGGAGGCGCTTAAAGGTTTACGATGCGCCAGCGCCGATGCAGCACTGCCACTTAGTATCTTGCTGGACTCCTCGATCACACTGTAGCAGCGATCGAGCGTACGATTGATATCGACATCTTGCAAACGGCGACGTGAGCTGTGTAGATCATCTGGTACTATGATGGGGTTTGTTAGATTCATTGATTGGTTGGTTGAGGTGCGAGTATGGTTTTGCAATTGAAAAAGAGAGGTAGGAGAAAAAAGAAACAGTGTAACGGCACGTGTGTTGTAGTAGCGTAGGTGAGAGAGAAAAAACAAAAAGTATGAGAGGTTATTTCTTTATTTTATGGTTTCATAGATTCATAAGCAGGATAATAAGCAAAATAAGCAACAGTTTGTATAAGAAGATCTTCAAAACTTAAATACATAAATATATACATATATTTGCGTAAGCATGACACAAGATCAAAGCAGTGAAAAGTGAAAAAAGTAAGCTGCCGCACTGAAATACTGCATTATTTAGAATGCGACGAAATGAAGCGAAAAAAAAAAAATAAAATAGTTATAACGGTATCCTACTAATATTATATGTATGTAAATGTGAAGTTTGTGAGTGACTGTGTGAATATGTTTGTTGCTATTTCACGCTACNTCCTACTAATATTATATGTATGTAAATGTGAAGTTTGTGAGTGACTGTGTTTGTGAATATGTTTGTTGCTATTTCACGCTAAAACGACTGAATGGATTCCTATCAAATTTGGCACACAGACAGGTGACACCCCGGATTAAGATATAGTGTATACGTTGGAGGGAGTTGCCTCCTCTTATTTAAATTAAAATCAATGAAATAAGTTAAATAAAATAAGACAACATTGTGGGTATCTAGTGAAAGGGATTCTAAAATAATTTTTTTTTTAACTTTGAAGATCGTTGCCACCTGTTCGAAGTGTGGAAATCAACTTAATTAACAAGTTAAATTAAATATTTGAATCTGCATATCAAACGACAGAGGTTTAAGAAAGCCTTATTTCGAACATGATTCTTAAGAGGGTTGCCACCTATTTTGGATTTCAAAATGAATTCAAACATAAAGTTAAGTTAAATATTTTCTAAAATTTTCTTTATCTAAAATATTTTTAAAGAGGTTCGCCACCTATTTAGAAATTCGAAATGAGTGTAATTAACAAGTTCAATAAAATATTTTAATATGGGCGTCAAACGCGAGTGGATTGAGAAAGCTTTATTTCTAAAATGCTGAAGCATTATTTTTAAAATATTTGTGTCTTACATATTTACACCAAATTATTTAGCTTAAAAACATTTATAAAAATGAGCTGCTATTTCTCTGTTATGTTGAAAAAACGCAATTTAGCATTGATATGAAACTAAAATTATATTCTTAAGGCCTGTATGCAATTCTCAGGAAAAGCAAAAATTCCATACAAAATGACGTACAAGAAATGCCTAAGAAATTTTCATGTGTAAAATTTTCTTGAGTCAGTACCCAGTTCTTAGGAAATTTGCTACCTTTCTACTACAGTTTTCTAAAGTTTTTTGTGATAAAAGAGCACAAGGCAACCCATGCTTGCAACGGAAATATACACCCGTTCTATTATTTCTCGAGGAAAGTGCGAGCCAACAGGCTGCTGGAGTATCAGTTGTCAAAATTCCTTGGACACACACAGGAAATAATGGCAATTTTTTTCTTGACCGCTTTTTCGAGAGCTGCATACCAGCCTTAACACACAAAAACTATCTACGAAAGATAAGATGTAATTTTTAACAGAACTGCCAGGAAAGGCCAATATCGAGACTGGCTGAATTAAGATAACCATCTCAGTGAGAACATCAAAATAATCAGCAGTATTCCTGCGATCGAGATCAGTTTCCAACTAACATCATAAACAAAATCTTTTTATAGCGGTTGCCCCTGGGAAGGCAATGACAAACCTCCAACTGTAATTCTGCAGTAAAAAAAAAGCTCCTCATAAAAATACAATCGTCATTCGGAGGCGGCGTTAAACTTTAGGTCCCTCTACTTTGTGTGACAACTCAAGCCGGCCGCCACAAGTCGTAAACTTACATATTGTGTTAGCGCCAATTTACATTTTTTATTTGATTATAACGATAATTATCGTTTAAAAATTTTCGTATTTGAAAATAACACTTTAATAACACCTAAGTAAACACTGAGGAGAAAAATAGTAAAATCAAATATAAGCGTATTTAAATGAAATGAAAACGTGTTCAAAAGTAGTTTATAATGGAAATATTCAACTCAAATACGCGCATATAAAAATTAAACATTTTGCACTTCACGGATTCTTTTTCATAATTAAGACAAACCAATGGAATTTTCCTGCAATGGATTTTAGGCGCATTTGAATTTAATATTTCTATTATATATACACTAACTCTGAACAGGTTTTCATTTGATTTAAATACTTTTTATTTGATTTTACTATTTTTCCCCTCAGTTTATACTCAGATGTGCATACATATTTTCTTCTAGTGAGCTACTGATAATCGGTACAGCTATGACGTTTCTACACAGCATAGAAGAACAGGTAGAGGTCATCTCAGCATACTTAACTCGGTTTTGTGTTATTTTGGATTATGACACTATTGAAGCTAATGAGCGATGTGCAAGCTTCTTTGAAGCAAACATTTAATTTTTGCTTGAAAACAAACAAAAATATATAAATTCAAAATTTGTCTTAAGCCCTGAGATTTTTGCGGCGCCGCGGCGGCTTTCTATGTATAAGTATCCTTAAGAAATTGATCCAACCCGGTGCTAATTAAAAAATTAAGCTGTTTTGAGAGTGGCAGGTTCCAGATTCTGAATGGAGACGATTTGTATGTACTTGTTCTCGTCGGTGTATACTAAGTCTAACGAAACCGCAAAACGTGGTTGCATGCAGAAAATCCTATTTTACAACGGTGGTGTCCTTTAGGTACTATACTCTTCCCACTAAGGACTTAGCATGTTTTCACTCTAAACTGTTCTTTCTTTTTATACCCGAGCGTACTTGTGCTTAAGGGTATTATAACTTTGTTCACATAACGGTTGTTTGTAACAGGCAAAACGAAGCGAGATAGATATAGGCAAATGTATACATAAATGATCAGAATGAAAAGAGAGATCGATTAAGCGGTGTCTGTCCGTCCGTCCGTCCGTCCGTCCGTCTGTGCACACGATAACTCGAGTAAAAATTGAGATATCTCAACGAAACTTGGTACGTGCACTTCTTTCTGCCGTAGGACGGATGGTATTGCAAATGGGCAAAATCGGACAATAACCACGCCTACCTCCCATATAACGGTAGTTTACAGAAATACGAAAACCGCGATATTTTAGTAACTACTGAAGATTCTTCACTCAAAATTGATATTTACACCGCCCACTTATGATCACATATATGTATCTCGGTAACCGTTCAACCAATTTGTACCAAACTCGGTATGGTTATTGTGCTTGCCACATAGAAAAACTATTGAAATCGGACTAAAATTACGGCTGCGATTCATATAACGGCAAATTTCAGAAATGCTTGAAACTTCAATATTTCGAAATTGAAGGACGCCAGTTTACTCAAAATTGATACACCCCGGCTTACCATCTAGCGGAAGGTTTCGGAAAGGTGAAAGTATATTTAATACCCGCGCCGGATATTTAATGTTCGGCTCCGCCCGAACTTGTTATTATTCACTTTTTTAGTTTAAAACCGAGTTTCTATTTTTTTACTTGTGTATGTTTCAAGGTTCAAAGAATGAGGTGAGTTTGGTTAGATAAGTGTGCCACAACTTTTTTTTTATCAAATGTCGAAAATCAAAAGCTCTAGAGATATGCCCGTATACGCTTACGAAAACAAAGCAGGCACGAAAAAACAAGAAATACCTCAAATTCACCAAAGTCATTTATGTAAGTGAAAAATTATATTTTTATTGCAATTTAATTTGAAAACTTGCAGATGGGAAAATATCATTATTAACCACATTAACAAAGTTATACTCTCTTTATGTTTCAGCTGTTGCATTTGCATTAAAATAATCACTGTATATATGTAAATATCTGACTTTCCTATACCACTTAAAATGACTCTTAGTCTTAATATTTCTGTGAAGAGCAAAGTTTTCATTTATAAATCAAATGGTTAACAGGCGCATAGAAGTGCTTGCTTTTTATACAAATTTCTACAATATAAACGTACCAAAAATATCATCAATATTATTGATGAGACTATTGAAGAATTCACGATCTCCGAGTGCCCGTGACATTTCAGCACATTTAAAAAACAATCTTTACACTGATGTATTTCAAAACTCTAAAAAATATGTCTTAACCAACCACTTTGTCTTATTTCGATCCGCTATGACGACAATTGCTTTAAGTAAGCAAACAAAAGGAACTTAAGGAAACCGTTTGGATAAAAACGCGGCCAAAATAATTAAACGTGACCTAGAAAAGCCGCAAGCACACGTGTGATGACCACAACAGTAAATCAATGACTGACGGCAATCTAAGCGTACAATACTACACCACCATTACATATAAATGTCTATATGTACTTATATATTCATATGTATGCATGGATGTAAGTATAGGCTTTTATTTGCCCAAGTGTATGTGTATTACGAAAGCCACACAAGCAGTTGTACACTTGTTAGATAAGTTTTTAGTATGCAATTAGACGTTGTATGTATGTATAGTGTATACATAGGAAATACTCTGCTAATAGTTTACGCAGGATCAGCGTTTATTTCAAAAAACAAAAAAAAAATGTTAAACGATTTTTCAACTTGGGAAAGCTTAAATTTTAATTAAAATGGAAATTGTAGACATGGAAAAATTTTTGTAGAGAAAAAGTCAAAAATTTCGAAGTTATATATCGAATAATTGAAATCGTTTGATCCCATGAGAATTATAACACTCATTAATAATTTAAAAAAACGNTGGAAAAATTTTTGTAGAGAAAAAGTCAAAAATTTCGAAGTTATATATCGTTAAATCGTTTGATCCCATGAGAATTATAACACTCATTAATAATTTAAAAAAACTTCACTAATATCACTGGTTTACAGTGAAAATGGTCCACGGTTGCCACTATTCCTATGTGGAATTGCTCGCTGAATTAGTGGTCAAATGAAAATGCGCACAGATTTTTTATATGAAAAATTTGCAGGAAAGAATGTTGCTCATACGCCATGTAAACAAAATAAACACATAATATTTCCTTTTTATTTATCAATCGAATTTCTTCATTCGTAGCATGTTTTTTTTTAACAGATCAGGATTTTACACAAGTAACAAATTTTCGTAAAATTTATTATTTTCTTAGTTACCATGTTAAAGTTTGAATTTTCAACTTTCCCATCAAAAAAAAATTAATAAATAAAAATTTGGAATGATAAATTATTTTCTCAGAAACTATCAGACCTATAAAAGAAGTAGTGTATATAAAGTTTATGGAGAATTTTGTTGGCTTTCTTTTGCTATATCTCGTATTACGATGCTTCAATTTGTTCGTAAGATATACGTAGTGAAGTGGAACCACACTTTTTTCGAAAACCTATCCAGAAATTTTCTAGATTTTTTGAAATCACATTTTTATTTTTATATCATTACAAAAACGAGGTATTTTTTTCGTATGCATTTATCATCAAATTTTTACTATATCGGTTAAACAAAAAAACGTTTAATTTGGATTTAAATTTGTTCGATCCTTTTAAATCTTACTTGGTCTAAAAACCTAAATCTGCAAATAACGGTCATAATTCTGCTATGATCCTAAAAATTATGAAAATTATATCGATCAAAAATTTATCGAAAAAATAAAATTCCAAAGAATACAGAATGTTCTTGAAAGTAAAAAATAAAAATCATAAACTAACGGTTAAATTTGATCAGAAAAATAGAAATCCAACTTTAACAATTAAATTATAAATTTTATTATAAAACTCATAACCGTTATGGTCCCTGATCGAAACTTATTTGATGCGTTCCTTTTTCGAATTTTTGTGTGCTTCTTGGTGCAGCCGCAGAAAAGGAGGACGACCTTCAGTTTAACACCGCCTCACAACTGCAGACGTTTTTTTCGCGACATACTTTTTAATGGCATAAGTACACTTGAAGGTTTGCCATTGGCTGCAGAGGAGGAAAAAAAAGCTTTTTTAAATTACACGTTAGCCCAAAACTTCTATACAGGGTATACTATACATTCGCATACTAGGCACACCCTCCTCCTGGCGCAATTTACAACGAATGCCAGCCGTTTGTGCATAATTTCTACACACTGCCATTGTTTCACTAAATTGACCCATAAACAACTTGGGCATATAGTATAGTGTAAATACCAGTCTAAACAAATAAAATTATTAATTTAAACAAAAAGCCAATGAAGTTCAACTGAGCGACCGCAAATCGTCTGCTGGATTGGCCACTAATCATATTACCTACAGGCTAAGTAAATGTCTAGTTAATTACATACATATGTATATGTATACACAGCTAACTATGAGTGATTGCATTTTGAATTTTTGATGAGCGGGTGTGTATCCGTCGCTATTGGTAAAACCGCACAAGCCAAATGTGTTAAAAGAAAATTAGTGCAAAACATATTAAGCTATATTACAAGTGAACTACAACTTTTGGTGATTTTATGTACTTGCATCAAATCGAAAAATAAAGCAAAATTATAAGAAAACGCTCAAATTTTTAAAAGAAAAATCTCTAAAATCAATACACACAGCAAAGCTAAATACATATGTGTGTATATAAGTATTTATATTCACAATGGCTTTTGTTCATCTACATTTATAATTGACGTAATAAGTTGTTGTTCAATAAAGTTATATCAGGCTCACCTTGATCGTTTAGCAGTTCATCTTCCAATTCTTCGGCACCAAAATTACTTAGTAGTTGTCTATAGTTGAGTATTTCTTTTGCTTCTTCATTATGCTGATAGAATTCTGGCGTATGACCGAGCTATGTAAATAAGTACAGAAATCAAAAGTGTTCATATACATATGTATGTATGTATACACATAAGAAATAAGTTGGTATATGTAAGTTTACAGCTATTAAATTTTGGGTTTTTTTAATAAATTTTGTGTTTTTTTTAATAATATTTTGTCGCCTACACTTTTGCTCAATGTTTGGCCGAGCTTCTCATTCAATCCTCGTTATGCATTCTGATGGAGCGACCTACAATTTTACGCCGCTTTCGAATGGCTTCGTGAGAAGCTCCGCGGTGTGCCGTTGCCTACCAAGGGGCGGCCGCTGTTAGAAAAAACTTTTTTTAATTTAAATGTCGCTCAGACCAGGGATCGTACCCAGGTGCTAAGAGGTGGTAGTGCGCATCATTAACCAATCAGCCATGGCGAACGGCTGATTCAATTTTATTTTTTTTGCAAAATTTCTATTAGCTAACCTCCACTGCTGAATGTTACTCATACGCAGTGTCCTACTCAGAAAGAAAATCTAAAAACGCAGTCTGGCTATATTTGGCCCCGAGTTTCGTGAGTGTATTAATTTTTGTATGAGTAAACTGTCGCACGCTGTTATATGGTATCTACATTTGTAGACTACCGGCTAGGAGATAGTGATTTTTAAAGGAAGTGTTTTGAAGGCCTTGGAAATAATTTTTTTGTTTATTTAAAAGCCAAAATTGTTTATAAATATTTTTAGGAAGCTACTAAAAACCGCGGACACGGTTGTAGTGCAAATATTTTATTTATTAAAGATTTTCGGCGAAAATGCTACAAATATAGACTACGAAGCATGCAAAATGCTTTAAGTACAGTTTAATGTTTTCTTTCTTTCTTATTCGGTTTATTTCAAGGATTGAAAAATTACAATGGACAATGTAATATTACTTAATATTCTCAAATACCAGGGATCGGCGTTGCGGCGTTTTATTTTTCCTCCATTTGAGAAAAATTAACCCTTTGGTTTTAAATTTTTGTATCCAAGCAGAAACTCAACTGCGCTATCTCAGAATTCGGTTGAGAAATGCATTATCTCAGCTGCCGATTCAAAAAAGACCTATCTCAGAACATTTTCAATGTATTTCCGTTTGAGATAGGGCGTTTTTGAATAGAATAGAATTCTGAGATAGAGCGTTCTTCAACCAAATTCTGAGAGTTCAAATTCTGAAGTAGGGCGTTCTTGAAAATTTTCCGATATAGGCCATTTTCCAGCAGGCTGCCGAGATAGGTCAATCTTCCACTCAGCCATCGATATGTACATAATTTGGATTTTATATAAGTATGTTTTCAGATTAGAGATTAACATTTTTAAATTGTTACAGCCCAAAAGAAGTATTATTTTTTAAATAAATACATCCAGTTCCTCAAACGCTGCACTCGACAAACATTTGTTGGCAAATATATTTTAAATGATGACTATTAAAAGGTGCGAGTGAGTATACTAGGTGTATGGGTAACTAAGACCTCACGCTTGCAAGGATCTATATCGGGTTAATATTCTATTTGATCAGAAAATATTTATTTTTAACGACTTGATGCCAATTCTATGTAAAAATTTATTTTCCTTATAAAAAATCTATGGAAAACTTCAAAGCCCCCAAAATTAAAACAATACGGCTCTCACTTGGCATTTCCAATTGGCGTCAGTTGGCACAGAAGAAAAACAACTGGTGTGCTTTGTTGAACTCGGCCAAAATCGCTTAGGCGGTTACAGCGCCAAATAAGAAGAAGAAGAAGGGTTTCCCTCTTTTTGATATTCTTCAGTTCTGAGAGTGTTAGCAGAAAAATTCGAAAAAGTTGCTTTTTCCATGTAATTTTGGACTACCCTAGTGTACATATTTATGTACGAGCTTTTGAAATTAACAATTTCAAATTATCATAATTTTGTATAGTCTGAACCTTTTTAAATGTTGTTGATTGCTCTTACTATTCAACAAAATTCATAGGACACCCATTTACTTTGAATCTATCATTTTCCATGATTATATACGTAGTTATTATCCTCATAGGATTAAATAGAGTATATATTGCGGCAAAACCTACCTTATCCGCTGCTTTGCTATTGGCACCCAGCTGCGTGAGTACGTTATAGAAGTGACCATTATCATTTATAACAGCGGCATAGTGTAGCGCTGTTCGTCCATCGGTGTCGGCGATTGTAGTGGTTTCTGGAAAACGTGCTGCCAAATATCGAACAATATCTGTTGGGAAAAATAAAGAAAAAATTTGAGATGAATACTAATATATATGATTGCGTGTGTCTTTTGTTGCTGCCTATTAATTTTTGTAAATGTATGCAAAATGTATGTATGTGGTTGATACAATTATAGAAAATCAATATAAGTAAAAATTTATAATTAGCCTCAAAAGCAGATATTTCCACATTTTTGGTTGGTTGGCCTTCGGTGTATTTAAAGTAAACACGAAACTTTGAAGTCATCGTTTTAATAATTTATTATGAATTTTTTTAGTTACGAAAAGCACTTAAAAGTCGTATCCATATGTACTTAGAAGTTTTCAATGTGAAAAATATGAAAACCCCAATACTTCATTGGACGAACTAATTGGTTACATTTCGAGGTAAGCGGTCGGTATCAACAAAAAAAAAACATTAAAAATTGTTCTGAGTATACCATTTTCATTCAGAATTAAGTAAGGCAACATTAAGTATGCAATGATTGTATCTAAGCTAAGACCTACTTTTCACCCATTAGGTGAGGTTAGGAGGGGGTGTGTGTAGACTTTTACATACTTTCGCTCAGAGACAGAATTATCAATTATGAGTTACCCCTTTAAGCGGGTGTCAGGATGAGACAGGTACCCATAATCGAGAGAGTAGCTTCAAGACATTATTCTACTGAACTAATTAATATACTATCCCTAATAAAGCCGAGAAGATCCAACACTTCCACCTTTGCTATGTCGGCCATACAGTTGAAGAAGCGTGAACACAAGTGCTTGCGGCGCTTCGTCTTTGACTCATGCTTATGTTCATCACTGCAGCTTCTCAGAGAGTGCTTGTTGGTATTCGACACCTTCGATGATGCCAGTAAGAACTTTTACTGTAGAGCTATTGAGTTTCAGTATCTCACTCGTCTCTCTCCTACTAAGCCGCGGCCATAATAATAATCTTGTGATCTCACAGTTTTCTCATTTGTTCTCGTTTTGTTAGTCGCCTCCATCATCACTTTTCCTAACGTGATCACTAAAATGGTGGTAGTACGGAGCTATGCGCTTCTTCTATTGGCATCTCTGAACCGCATCTGGCTACCTCATCAGCCGACTCCTTTCGCCCAGCAAAGAGTGACGTTGATACGGCTCAGTGGCGCCAGCGTGATGCGACATTTCAATACAATTCCCGACTTCACTATTTTAGATCCTATTGCCTTCAGTGCTGCCTGACTGTCGACAAAAATATTGGCTTTGTCTTCTGGAATTCTACTACTAAGTAAAAGACTAGCCGCCGTCTCTATAGCGTAGATCTCCGCTTGGAAGATACTGCTGTCGTTCGGTAGATGAAAGGACCGGTTGATCTGCAGGTCTTTCGAATAGGCACCGGCTCCGATTCCTTCATCCATTTTTGAATAGTCTCTGTAGATTTATATACTCCCCTCTTCTGCAGTCAGTCTTGCATTTTATTCTTCAGTAATCAGTGCTGGTTTCTATATCACCCATTACTTTATCTATACAATTTCAGAAAGCTCAAGGGTTTTTTTTAACTCAAGGAGTTATAAACAGCTTTGTACCTATTTTAATACAGAATTACTATATCGATTACCTGTGTTTCCAAAAAGCACAGCTACATGCAGAGGTGTGGCACCGTTGGGTGAAATCTCATCTTTGGCTATCGCAAACTTTCGTCTATCTAAAGCCTGTTGCAGAGCAAGTAAGCTACCTTCGCGTGCCGCCTCGTGAACTCGACGTATTTTACTCTGAAATATAATGCAAATAAAGCTCCAGAGAAGCTGACAAAGCAAATATGTTTCGAAATTTTCATTTCATGGCGGCTTATTCGGCTCGGCTTTGAGACTCATTATTAGACTATGCTCTTAGGTGGGGATCACACGATTTGTACATTTTGGCCAGTCACAGAGGAATGCTGTTTTAAAAATTTGAGTTTAGCTCAATAAAAGAGTTTCTAGACAACATCACTCTGTAACTGTCACAATGTACAAATCGTGTGATCCCAGCTTTAGGTTTTTCCTAAAATTTATTTATTTTATTTTATTTCTTACTTTTTCAATTCCTAATGTTCTCTTATGCCTAAGTACTCACCATATAGCTGGGCACATTACTGAGAAATGCCTGTATATCCGGATTTTGTGATTGCATATTCACCAATTTATTACCATCACCATTGAGAACAATTTGCGCTAACTGCTCCATATCGCCAGAATTAATAACTTTCGTTATGTCGGACTCCTTGAGTTTTCGTGGGATTAGAATTAATCAATAAATGAGCACACAGCTACGACAAGAATTTCCACCAACAACAGAATGTACATAAAAACACACATACAGCAATTAAATAAAAATAGACGACTACTTAATGAAACTTAAATAAGCAAAATTATCAAAAGGCACCAACTACGAATATTCTAACGAAATAGCATTCTATTCGTATACATAAATAACTCAAAAACATTAATCACTTGAAACTGACAATATTTAGAAATTAACTTGTATGCTTAGCGTTAATACTTCATGTACATAAGCAGCAGATTGCGACTGAACTCTATTATCCTCCGATGCGCCAGCCACAAAGCCTTCAATAGCCAGCGATGAGGTAGGCGAACTACCATCAACATTGTCGTATTTATCTTCGTTGTAATTCTCATCAAGTTTATCAGCTGTTTGCGGACCTGTAACCACATACACGTCGTTTTCAGCGTCAGAATCTAATGCTTTTTCAGGCTCCGATTCATATTCAATTGTATTTTCATTTTCAGCTACCAACTCGGTCGCCTGCTCGTTGTTGGGCTAGAGAAAAATGTTCGGCGGTAACAAATATTTATGTAGATTTTTTGATTTTCATTTATTTCGTTTAAAATGTTGTACTGCTTTTTGAAAAACTAAATTTAAAAAAACCAAAAAGGCACTGTTATTTCTCTACAACTTAAGTTGCAATGGAATCGTCATCTACGGTGTCACACAAATAAAAGATATACGATCTATACATATTTACATACAGTGCTCTTGTTAAAAAAAAAAAAAAGAAAAATCTGTTTCCTTTTTGAGCAGCGAATAATCGATGGATTTTGCTTTTTTATTGTGTCGGCAAGAACTTAAAGGTTAGGGTAGGTTACATCTCCTTTTTAACGTTAAACTGTTACGGACACTATAATCAGAGCCATGTTCTTACAACATCTTCTCAGAAAACTGAAAGCAAACTCGTCTAGTCTAGAGAGAAGTTTCTTCCTTGGGTTTGGGATCCCAAGTTAAAAAGGTCAGTCCGCTCTTATTAAGATAGAGAGTCCACCGCCACCAGTAACCTAACTAGCTTTAGGTAAACTTGAGTCAGGATATATAAGGTATACATAGGCGAGATGTCCGCATAGGCAATCACCTCTCAAGTATGTCGTTTAGGATCACTATCCACGGCAGAAGTGGGAGGAGCTCAACTAGCGGGGTGTGTATTTTCAGTGTATGTTTTTCCTGCCAACAAGCTCCTTTGGAACAAAGTACGTCGTTAGCTTTCCTACAAGGAAGCAATGAACAGATCCAGACACTTTCTTGGGAAGGTCGGTGAAAACATTCTATAACTACGGCTCAAAGACAGAAACGGGTACTGGAGCTGGATGGCATCTGGACGGTAAATTTAGGCGATTTAGTGTTTTGAGCGCAGTGTCAACGGTTTTTTAATCGTAAGTAATTTGGAATACTGAAAGCAGCAGACTGGATAATTGGCAATAGGTGGCGCAGAAATAAAATCAGGATCCGCAGTGACAGCCAAGTGCTCTAAAGACTGAGGAAATCGCTCGCACCTTAGATAGAGGCTGAAATGCGGTTCTCTGGAGCATCTAATTGGGCCGCAGCTAATTTTAGAGTCAAGCATTGTGGGAATATTCGGGTACATCCAGCAAATCATTAATACAACTCGTGAGAGCCGTTGGTGTAATATTGACGCCTGCAAAACAACCAAGTGTTTCTTGTAAAGGCCTGAATAATAAACATAAAAGTAAAAACAAAGATAAATATTAGGAAAAAGATGAAGATAGAGGAAGAAAGATTTAAATAAAGGTAACTATAGAGAAAAAATATGTATAGAGACACGAAGACTTAGAGACTTTAGAGATTTTCGGGATTCTCGGAACTTATCGATATAATAACCTATATTTTAATCGATTTGTTATAGACATTTTTATCGATTTTGTTATCGATATTTTCGGAACTTATCGATATATAATCGATATTTTTATAGATTTTGTTATCGATGTTCTTGCCGGTTTAACTATCGAATTGTTATCGAAATTTGTATAGATATTTTTATCGATTTCGTAATCGAAATTTTATCGATTTTGTTATCGATTTTATTATAGATTTTATTATCGATTTTGCTATCGATATTTTTATTGGTTTTGTTATCGAAATTTTTATCGATATTTTTATCGATGATGTCGATATTTTTATAGATTTTTCTATCGATACTTTAATCGGTTTTGTTATCGATATTTTGTGGCCTAGGTGCACTTACTTTTTTTTTTGTTTTGCCTGCCACCCACAACGCCATTTCATTCCAAATTATATTGTACTACGACATTTTTGATACAGAACTTCGAAAATTTGAATCGTATACCATTTTCGCATTTTTGGTTGAATATTTTTGGGATTTGCCCATAGCCTTTACAGTAGCCATGACCGTATTTATGTTTTTGGTTCTATATCTCTTATCCTTCATATACTTAGTCCTATATTCGTACAAAATAACAGTAACTGGCACGAATTAGAATTGTTCACTGGTATTTTGTTTAAATTATTTCATTTGTAATACGCTCGCGATAGGGTTTGTGCTTTCGTTCACTATCTGCATAAGCGCTCGCAAATTTTAAAATAAAAATTCCCATTATTTTGCAGAACGAATGTAATAATTTTGTAGATAGAACAACCCATTAAGATTAATACACTCAGATATCCGCTTTTGTAATGCTTAAATGTGCGGTGGTAGCCAATAAAATACGTACTTAGTCAAACGCAGATCTCATAACAAGCTGCAACTATCTGTATATATCCACTTGTAGCCTACTTATACTTATGTAACGAAACGGAACAAATACCGCCACAAAAGCATTTGCATCAGTAGGCGAGTTTAAAAACATTTACGCTAATATCAATAAAATAAATCATACTTTGAAAGTCAGCTATTAAAATTCTGCATCGAAAATATCCTCCGCTGGTAGCAGATCGAACGTTCTTGATAAATTGGCGCAATGCAACACATGTTACGGAACGCAGCGGCAAAAAAAAAGAAGCCAATGGTAACGAAAAAGGCAATTGCAACAGCTTACGCCACACGCCAACAATGGCTGACATGTGAATTGGCAATGCGAAAAAAGACGAATAATTGTAGTTGCGCATATTGTAGGACAACAAATATTTTGACGTTTGCATGTTCACATGCCATTTCACATGCAACGCTGGAAAAACGAAGAAGCATACACGCACACATACCTACACTGATAATTTTGTGTGTATGTACATTAGAGTGGCTTTTCGTTGTAGGGGTAAAAATTAAAGTGAACAGAAACAAAAATACGCTATAAAAAAGGGATTGATCCTAAGAACTCACATCTATACCATTACTAAGATCTGCAGTGAACAGCTCAACTAGTATGCTTAAATTCTAGTTCATGAACTATTATTTAACTATGGTAGTCATACCAGTTCGTCATGGACTATAATTATAGCAGTTTCTCTTAGAAAAAGTACACTAAATATTCGGTATAAACTCTAGTTCGTAAACTGATATTCAATTGGGACGTCATACCAGTTCGTCATCGAGTAGAATTATACCAGTTCTCCGCAATGAAAGGCCATTTACATTTTACACTCTTATTTTCGTTGTTGGTGTTTTTTTCGCCAAGGTAGGAGTATGATGTATTTGGAATGTTTTCGGGATTGAAAAATGGCACTGAATATAGCACAACGCCGAAACCGGTTTGTCTTCAAATCAAATTTGACAAGGGATGACGGAAATTCGTTCAACGATACATCACATTTTATACTCTTTCGGCTTCTAGCTGAATGTTTTTTTTTCTTATTAATTTCACTCGGAATAAAACACGTCACGGTGCATCTGAACCAAGATTAAATGAAAGGTTGCTGAACATTGGAAAGTCTTGCAAATTTTAAAAGTATATCGTTTCTACTAGCTTTGGAAATTTTTATTCTATTATTTTTTATTTTATAATTTTCATTTTTACAATCATTTGGTATATATGTACATTAGGGTGGTATATAGTTGAAATTTTTATGCTCTCAAGCCCTAGGGTAGTTCTTTTTTTATTCTCAGCGCTGAAAGGGTGACCTCCCTCTCCATTACGATTGGGAGGGGCGGTATACCCACAAGAGAACTGAGTGCATCAGCAGGACAGGTCCGCATTGCACCTGTTATGCCAATGCGCACCATTCGTTGCAGTTTGCTTAGTTTTGTACTAGCAGTTCTTTGTGTCGTTTTATTTCACTATGCCAAGGATGCGTAGGTGACTATGCGCTTCACAACCGGGTTAAATTATCAGTAGGCCAGTTTGGGGGAGAGTTCACAAGCTTTAAAAAAAAGTCGCGTACAAGCGACAAAGACTCTCATTGCCTTGTTTACGGTTGCATCCGNAATTATCAGTAGGCCAGTTTGGGGGAGAGTTCACAAGCTTTAAAAAAAAGTCGCGTACAAGCGACAAAATAATATTTTGCATCATTTGAGAGACCTATTCCAGTGCAGCCCAGACTAAATTCCTTCATGGATAACATTTTTCTCAAGGTAAACGGAACCACAGTAGTTTTAGGAGGATAAATGGATAACCCTTTGGTGTCACATCATCTTTGTGTAATGGAGATCGTTTCGCCCTGTTACACAGATCATCAGATCGTCTACATAGCCTTGTGTTTCGAAGCCGTTAAGAAGCCTTAAGAGATAAAACAAATTTATTTCATTGGCAACTGTGAGATCAAAATTGATCAGTATTGTGCGATTAACTCTTCTATTAAAATTAAGATCATTGGAAAATTGCAAGAAATTCGTCACGGATACAACGCTTTGGTTAGGTTATTTAAGATGGCGATGGAATATATGCCTCCTGACGATCACAAAACCTTAATCAGGCAATAAATCTGCCACTGGAAGTCATTGAGTGAATAGTTGGTGAACAACAAAAAATTAATTTTGGGCGAGACGAAGTTCGCCGGGTACGCTAAGTTTCCTCTAATTCTGAAATGTGAATTCTGAATGAGAGTTAGTTAAGACCTTTTCATAAGGTGAGTGACATAATTATAAGGTTATCCACACATTCATAAGTTTTGACTAATAATTTTTTTCAAATTTATTTTAATAATTTTTTATAAAAATATTATTCATTCTATAACAAAATCCTTATGTATACTTAAGTTCAAGATTCAAACTCTGTAAAAAATTAAAAAAACCAAAAAATATATCGAATTTTCTTCCAATTTTCACAGTTTTAAAAGGCCATTCAATTCTTGTTTAGCGAAGTGCACGTTTGGAGTAGTTACAAACTACCGTTTTTTTTGTTCAGCTATAAGTAATTTCATAGGAGATTTTTTTTCATCCTTACTAGTCCTCATTGGTATTATAAATCTGAAAGTGAGTTTGTTTGTTTGTTACGCTTTCACGCTTTAACTACTCAACCGATCATCACGAAATTTTGTACACTGGCGTCTTTTAAATTTTTATCTCGATTATACGAGGGGCGTGGCACCTCCCCATAGAAATGAAATATTTTAGAGTGCATATCTCAGGAAATATTTGTGATAGAGTACTGGAGCTCATGGAGGAGGGCTGCCATCTGTTTAAAAAATCAAATTCAACTTGAAGTAAGGGAATTATTTAGGTGAAAATTATATTGAAAGTTGTTGTTTGAAAATATTTTGAAAAGGTCGGACTACGATGGTTTCAGCGATAACCCCGAACAAGGGTTTCGTTGGAAAATATTTTGAACTGGGTTGCCACTTGTTTTAGAAGTCGAATTTAAATTAATTATACTCAAGTTAATGTGTCAAAAGTAAGAGTGTTTTGAAATGTTCAGAATTAACACGCAGAATTTTCTGAGGTATTTGAAGAGGGTTGCTGTTTTAAAACTAAATTCAAATACAATTATTTTATAAGGTAAATGAGTTATTACGATATTAATTGATAGAGTCTCGAAAAGGCTTTATTTCTAAGCTATATATGCATAGAAGGGGTTTCCACATGTTTCAAAATTCAAATTCAACTTGAATTGTCAGACGAAAGAGGTTTAAAAAGGTTATCAACTGTTTCAAAATTTAAATTAAAACTATTCAACAATTTCAATCATTTCGAAATGATTTTGAAAGGGCTTCATTTCTAAACTACATGTAAGTAAGAAAAAGTATCTCAAGAGAGAGGTTTAAGGAAGTCTTAGTTTGAAAATATTTTGAAGATGGTTAAAAAAATTTAAAATCTTCTCTCTTTGGCATAGTTTTAATATGTTGAGTCTTATTGAAAATACACATAATGTAGTACGCAGAAATTTCATGCACTCAGCGAAGCGGGTGAGGGCGATTTAGTAGTACATAAAATCGTCAGATACAGACAGAAGAGTTAAAACATGATGTCTATGAAAAAGGTAGATTTAGCTTTCTGTAATGAGATTTGTGATCAGGCGGTGCGGTTCGGTGCGTTAGTTTGTAACCACCACGGCGATTATATAACTACGAGAATTTATATAACTCCGAGAATTTCGCAAGTCTAGTGCAACATTGCTTGCTCATCAGATCTTTTATTCTTCAAACAAAATTTTAGAAAGACCCTAACTCATATTTTTATTACATTACAGGAGAGGGGAAAAATTGAACCAGAACAAAGAAAACAACAGCCACATATTGAAGAAGATCTACTAACTATGTAGTTGTGCACGTGAAGTATAGAAGAACAAAGTACAAAAACATTTCTAAAAAGAAGTGTAGTCTATACGAAGAGATGAGGTGATGAAATTACAAAACACTTTCAATTTAGTTCAAACGTTTACATATATTAATAATTCAAATANTAGAAGAACAAAGTACAAAAACATTTCTAAAAAGAAGTGTAGTCTATACGGAAGAGATGAGGTGATGAAATTACAAAACACTTTCAATTTAGTTCAAACGTTTACATATATTAATAATTCAAATATTTTTTTTTATATTACAGAGTTTTCTAAGTGTGTTGTGTAGGTTCTCTTTTTGCAAATACAATATTTTGAACTTAAGTTTATAATGAAAATTTCCATTTAATTGCATAAATTTTAGTTTAAAACATTTCTTCAAATATCAACTACAACTTTTTTATACACAACAAATAACTCCAATTAGGGTGTGTGTTAAATTTGAGAAATAAATTTGAACAATATTGTAAGTATGTATACATTTGTTATATAGTTAGTGGATAGGATATACATATGTATGTATGTATGTAGTGAGTGTACATTTGTGCTTTGGCTAAAACAGTACGTATAAGAAAGTAGCTACATTTGGTAGTGTAGCATAAATCACAAGTACTATTACAGTTAGTTTTACATGTTCATTTAGTGGATATCTATAAACAATTACAGGGCTTCAATTTGGTTTAACTAATACATTGTTAACAATTTGCAACTTTCGCTTACGCACGCAAAATGAATTCATATTTGGTTTCGAAAGGGCAACACTTTTAAGTACTCAACTACATGCGAATTTTATGTAGGAAATAAGAAGATGCGGCTAGTACAGACACCATATTTTTTTCGTGTAAAAAATTTTGCATAGTTTAAATAGGAAATTACTTTTTCAAAGCGTGTTTATATATNACGCACGCAAAATGAATTCATATTTGGTTTCGAAAGGGCAACACTTTTAAGTACTCAACTACATGCGAATTTTATGTAGGAAATAAGAAGATGCGGCTAGTACAGACACCATATTTTTTTTGGCGTTAAAAATTTTGCATAGTTTAAATAGGAAATTACTTTTTCAAAGCGTGTTCATATGCTCAGGTGGTTGTTAGGTTTGTGCAGATAAAGATTTTTTTAAATTTTGTTAAATTAGTTTTTAAGACGTTTTGTTGTTGGAGCTTAATTTTTACAAGTACTTTGTGCCCATTAGAGCATGCCAAATTGTACCTCATCTTCTTCATCATCATCGTCTTCGCTCTCGTTGTCACCCTCAATTAATGCATCGTTTTTCTTCTTTGCACTACCATTACGTTTTGTTGCGCTGCCATTTCGCCGTCCCCGCATCGCTTTGGCTGTGGTGAGTCGTGGCATTTTTCCACTCTTTTGCTCATTTGTTTCATTTATCTTTTCACCTCTGCTTTCTGGTGTTGCTATGCTTACTTTTTCGCCCGTTTCTTTATCCGCTTTCACAGTGCGTTTTCTTTCGCCATTTACTGTTATAGTTTCACTTTCTATGCTGTTGTTGTTTATTGCAATTTCTTTTGAATTGTTTGGTTTTTGGTCTATTTCGTTTTTCACATCCTCTTCAGTCTTATTGTTTACTTTAAGTGCTCCCTGGTTTGTTTTTTCCTTGGCGCCATTTTTGTTGCTGTTATCATTGTTTTCAGGTTCTGTTGTGTGAAGTTGTGCGCTTTGTGGATTGTTGTCTGTTTCGCCTTCGTTTTCAATTACACTTTCTTCACTCATAGAGGATTTCTTTTCATCTATGATTTCGTTCTTATGCTCAACTAAATTTTCTATAGCAGTATCTGTTCTCTCACCAGTTGTTTTACCGTCAAGAGTTTCTTTAGTTTTTTCTTGCTCAGATTCCTTCTCTTTTTCTTGCTCTTTTTCCTTGTCTTTTTCATCTAGTTTTTCTTTTTCGTTTTCATCGTTTACATCTTTATTACCAGCAACTTTATCCAACATCTTTTGTTTTTCATAGGTTTCGTCTTTCATATTTTCATCATCGGCTTCCTCCTTTTCGCCTTCAACAACTTTAAATGCATTTTCAGCAATTTTGCTCACTTCGCTTTCATTATTTATTTGTTCTCCTTTTTCTTTTTCAACTGTTTCATTTTCGTTATCTTTCATTTCTTCATTCTCTTTTGAAATCCTTTTACCCATACTTTCCTTGTCTAACTTTTCTTCGTTTTCATTTTCTTTTATTTCATTTCCATTTTCAACACCCTTTTCCTGCTTACTTTGTTCTATATTGCCTTCCTTATCAACTTGACCCACTTCTTTGCTTTTTTCCTCTATAACTTTCGCTTCCTCGCTCGCTGTTCCTTTATCATTATTATCAACCACACTAGTGCTTTCATTTAAGTTTTTTGTATCTTCGTCTCTTTCATTATCTTCACCCATTTTACTTCCGCATTCTTTTGCATTTTCCTTACTTTCATTCACTAACTTTTCATCGCTTTTAGTGGTTTTCAACTCTATTGCTGCTACTTCCTTATTCAGTAGCTCATCTACGCTTGCTTGTGCCTCCTCGCCTTCGCCACCAATGCGAGGATCTAACGCCAGCGCGTTTCCGATTGCATCTACTTCTTCTTCGTCTTTTTCATTGCTGCTATTTTCCTTAATTCCATCGCCTACTTTCTGCTCTTCTTCAGCTTCCGTTGCTTTGCCCACATCACCCACTACCTTCTCATCTTCCTTTTCATCTGCCTTTTCAACTGCCTTCTCATCTTCCTTCTCACCACTACTTTCTTCATTTTCATTAATTGTTTCATCACCGGCTTCCACTAACACATCGCTCTCTTTCTTTTCCTCCCTTTCTGTTGCCCCTGCCTCTACTTTCGTTGCTTCTTCTATCTCTTTCTCTTCCGGTTTTGTTTCCGCATCCTTTGTACTCTCGCTCTCAGTCAAATTTTTGCTCTCTGCTGTCGCCGTAGTTGTCTCATTCTCTCCTTGCTGCGCATGCTCATCTCTCTCATTGGTTGTTGTTGTAGGTTCGTTTAATGTTTTCATATTAGTCTGCAAAAGTAAACAATTGTCGACTGATATCTTTCTGTACGTTTTAGTTTAAAAAAGCAAAAAATGTTCATGTATTTAAAATTTTATTATTTTTCAAAGATCAAAAATTTGTTAAATACTCATTAAATTAACACAAAAGTTGGAAAAAAGTAATTCAAGCCAACAGATATATTCTTGTAGAGAAGTGATTGAAGCCGCTGCCGAAAACACAAAAAACGATTTCAAAAGAAATGGTGTTGAATAAAATAAAAAATGATGTATTTAGATTTGTAATTAGGTGTATTCAGTTTCGAAAACATATAAGAATTCCAAAAGAATATCAAAAACATCGAAAAATAGAAAGACGCATCAAGGCCGACAATAGCTTACTTTTGACAGTTTGCTAAAAAATTGCACTAATTCAATTCTTCTAATCCATTTCTATTCTTCTGGTACATATTTTTTCCAAACAAGGCATACATATTTATAAGAAAAATTTCGTAAGCAGAAGCGAAAACAACGCTGCTGCTATTTACATAGTTGCATAAAAAAGTTCATTTCACTTTTTAAAATTAAATTGTGCAAAAAGAAATTCTAAAGCATTCTAAGCTGTTGTGTACGTACGCAGCTGTGCATAACATTGAGCAAACATTTACCCAGCGAACTACAGCAGTACGTAGAATTTTCTAAACGCCTGCCAGATTCAAGAGCAATAAGCAATAAGCCTTAATAACTCTAAGTGCATTTTTGGTTAAAATTCAAAAGCAATTGACATTCAGTGTAAATGATTATACAAAATGTATGTTAGAACTTATGAACGCTTAAAGCGCGGCAATGCACAACTTACCTCGCCTTCAATGGCCTCTACCTCAGGCTCAGCAGCCTCTTCGGCAGCCTCAGACGCAGTCTCGTCCTCAGCTTCCGCTTCAACCTCCTCGGTTTCGCCGTTGGCATTGCCATTGATTGCCTCCGTTTCAGCATTTTCATTTACGGGTATCGCACCTTCACCATCTTCTTCATCAGCCGGTTCATCGTTATCATCGTCTTTCACTGGTGTCTGCGGTATTGAGTCACTGGCGGTGCCATTGGTTATTGGCGTTGCGGGCTGTTCTTCTTCTGTGGCGCTTATGCTTTATGATCATGTTTTGTGGCGCAGAAAATGGTTGAAGCGATTTCGTGTGTGTTGTGTGGTGTGTGTGTGTGTTTGGTGGATGGTATTGTGGATTTGGTGTTTTTGGAAAAATATTACTTGTTATACAAAAATTCAAAAAAAATTCATCAAAGGCTCTACATAAAAACTAAAACTAATTAAAAATTCTTGCATTACTGATTTTTTTGCTAGATCTAAGGAGCTTTTTTCATCGCTCTTTATTAGCTAAATCAAAAAGCTTCATTCCCTAAGTAATGATAAGATGAGTTGCCAAAATAAAATTCATAAAAATTTATTGTGTACGAAAGATGTTAATTTTTGGAGGAATATATTTTAAGGCGGGTACGGCACACACTTCATAACTTAAAAGCTTAAAACCTAAAATTTTTTAAAGTTAAAAACGTACTATTTTTTGCATAGTTACTCTGATAACTTTCAGATTTACAATTCAAATTTTAAAATTTTTTCTTAAGCAACCTAGGCGAACAGACGGACGGACAGACAGTCACCGCTTAATCGATTTTTCATTCTGAGCATTTATGTATACATTTGTCTATATATATCTCGTTTCGTTTTGGCTGTTACAAGCAACCGTTATGTGAACAAAGTTATAATACCCTTGGGTACAAGTGAGCTCGGGTATAAAAAAAAGCCCGTTTGTTCGATATACGAAAAATTAAGTTAAAAAAAAAAAAAAAATCGTTGGAAACCGGTTTGGAAGAACCGAGTCAATCACCCTAGTACATACTTTTCATCGGACCAATTGACCTTGCACCAGAGCAAGCAGATCAATGTAAGAATGAGTGAATAGGTCTTGAATGAGAAACAATCTCCGCAGCACTAACGCAAAGGCACAAAACTTTGTGATTACACCTGGCAAATTATTTTCTGGTGATCCCATTTATGTCGATATATGTATATACATACAGTATCTACTCATTGTTTTTTTTTTTAAATTTTGCACAGAGTATGAAAGTTTGGTTTAAAAAATTACAAAAAATCGGGAAAGCTCAATCAAATTTTACAGAATTTTTCGAGTACGCAGATTTATGTATATTAAAGTAAAAACAAAAATTAAAAACCAAGACAATATAAAATAATAAAAACTAAATAAAAAATAACATGCAAATTTAAGATAAAAATTAACAGGAAAATAAAGGCTAAAAAATTATTTATTTTGGAACGAACTTCCGTCATCCCTTGTCAAGTTTGGTTTGCAGACAAACCGGTTTCGGCGTTGTGCCATCTTCAGCTAAAAAATATTTAATAAAAAATTAAAAATAATGCAAGTGAAACTAATAAAATTAATAGGGTAATATAAAAAAAATTTAAAATAAAAATCAAAATGAAAACAAAAAAATATAAAAAAATACAAAATTGATAAAATATAAAACAAAAGCAAGAAAAGGAAATCAATAAAAAATTAAATTCACCTGAAATAACGCAAAACCAAATATAAAAGTTTGACATAATAATAAAACTTAAGAAATAAAAAATTAATTTTTTATATTAAAAGTAAAAATAAATAGATGTAAAATATAAATTAAAATTTTAGTAAATATAACACCCAAGCTCATAAAAAATAAAAGCAAAAATTTTAAGAAAATATCACTTTATAAAATTTTTTGTATTAATTTTATTTAAAATGTTAAAATTGATGATGATTTATTTTTGTTTATTTTTGTTATTTATGGCCGTATAACAATTATAATAAACAATTTTATTTAGCATGAGGCCATTTTTAATGAAAATTTTTTGTGAAAAAAACGATAATTTACATATTTCATGATGATTGTGAAATGAAAATCAAAAAAAAAAATATCTACACTTTAATTCAACATCAAATTGGTGAAATAAAGACTTATTTAAGCTGTTTCAAATCCTGGTATTACTTGTTTTAGTTTTCAATTTTAACTTCCAAAAATTAACATCATTTTAAAACATTTTTAAACTCTACTTAACAGTTCAACCGCTACCAACTATAGCTACACAATCAACGCCCATACTTACCCATCGTTTAAATCAACTTCGGATATATTTTCAATACTTTCGTCAATGATGTGACCATGAATACCGTTAGTATCTGGTATTTTAATATCAAGTTTCTGTTTAAAACGGAACCACAACGGGATAAAAGGAACAAACAAACCGAAAACGAAAATGTGTACATGCATAAATACATAAATATATACATACATATATGCAAGTCAAATTTAATAAAATGAAATTCTCAAATAATTTCTCGCATTTAAAAACAACTCACCTTGCCACCATCGCCGACATCCTCACTCAACGCCTCCCAATCGGTGGCGACATCTGGTGAAACGCGTGGCGCCTCCGGCACATAAACCAAAAACGCACGTTCAATATCGTTAGGCTTGTGACGATAGTAAGTAGGCGATTTCATTTTCTAAAAATAGGCAAGCAAAAAAAAACACAAGAATACGAATGATTTCGAAAAACATCTGAAAATCACAATTCAAATTCAAAAGTAATTTTGTTTCCAATTACGGCATGACATTTTAACGCGCTTGGCACGCAATTACTGAAAGGTTACTCCAGCGCACAGAGGTTCAAAACTGGAATTTAGTTTTCTTAATTCACTGGAGTCTTCACTTTTCACTCAATTTGATTAGTTTCTAATAAAAGTTAATAAAATTTGCAAGAGACCAGTTTAGCCCGATTTTTCAATTTTTGTTTGTTTGTATTAAATTTTTAGTGCAAAGGGCAGCAAAAGTAGCAATTTTGAAGAAAATCGAGTCACCTGTTACAGTCAATAAATATTTTCAGTGGCTAAGGGTTCGCGTTGATTTTTAATAATATAATAAACGCTTTTATTTCCCATTTAGCATGCAGATGTGCTCGAAATGTTAGCAAAAAAATTTAATGATACTGCATACCCAACGTTTTCATAGAAACTCAAAAATTTTTTTTTTTTTGTGAAAATTTTTTATAAAACGTTTCAAATTTTCTGTGAATTTTGTACCTGTAACGAAAAAAACTATTAGCCAAAATTTTTATAAAAACCAAAAACCAAACAAATAATTTTGTGAAAATTTTTGTTATAACATTTCAATTTTTTTTTTTTTTTGGAAAATTTTTTATAAAACGTTTCAAATTTTCTGTGAATTTTGTACCTGTAACGAAAAAAACTATTAGCCAAAATTTTTATAAAAACCAAAAACCAAAAAAAAAATTTTGTGAAATTTTTTTTTAAAACATTTCAATTTTTTTTTTTTTCATTTTGGGAGAACCCTACAATCGTTTCAAACTTTATTATGCAACTTTTATTTATTGAAAAGGATAATCGAGCTTCTTCAAAATTGCTTCTTTTTCTGCACTTTGCACTAAAAAAAAAAAATTAATACAAATACACAAAAATTCAAAAACCGGCTCCAGTGAATTGTGAACACAAAATGGCAATTTTGAACCACTGTGCAGCAGTGTACTAGGTATTACATAGAATAACAGCAATGACATACATATAAGCTCGTTCGTTTGTACTTACATAATCCATGGCCTCCTCATCGCAGCCGGTTTGCGTGAGCAGCGTATAACAGCGCATATTATTCTTATGACTAGCCGCCCAATGTAATGGCGTTTTGCCAGTTATATCCGTCTCAGCAACGCCATCCGGCCAGATGCCAATCAGATACTCGAGTATCTTTGTATGACCAAGCCCCGCTGCCTTGTGTATGAGATTGAGGCCATTCGCATCGCGACATGTGATGAGAGCGGGCGGCACTGGTGGCTCCATTTTCGCTTGTAACGTTTCCAGATTATTGTCGATAACAGCCTGATGCACATCTTTGATGGAATTCTAAAAATATGAAAGGTGTAGTTGAATATGAGCAAATAGCACGAGTTGTTTTTTTTTTTAGTTTCACCTGCTCTCGCCAGAAAAAAAACGCTAAAGTATTACTATTGCGTGTATTTTAATCAATGGCGTACCAGAAATAATTCGAATAAAAAATGAATCAAGTATTTGAACAATTTTAGCGCTAAAACGTTTATTTTGGGCGAAAAAGTACCGAAATTATTCATTTTTTCATTATCACTCGAAAACAATCATAATTGCTTTTTTTTACAACTTTGGGAAGTTTTCAAATAGAATGTTCATATTATAGGCAATGGACGTTGGCATCAAATTCAACATATCTGTGAGCTTTCAAGAGTGTGCCACCAAATTTAAAAAAAAGGTTGTTTTTTATTTTAATAATTTAAGACTCTTCAAAATGTTAAAATTAAAAGGTGAAAATGTTCTCCTTGCCACAACTAACGCATCTAGTGTAATAACAACAGTGTGCCACCAAACGAAAAAAAAAATTGCACTGATTAAAATATGACTATGATTTTAGAAACTAAAACCCCATTTTACAAATTATATTGGCACACCCGGAATTCATTCTTAAATTGTTATATACTTGAAAAAGGTAATATATATGCGCATAAGGAGTACTGTGTAAAAATCTTCCACGCCAATATTTAATTGATTTTAAATTATATGATTTTTAGAATAAGACGTGTGATAAAACGTGGTAGATAACTGTGTATGATGCCACCGGGCCAAGAAGTTCCATACAAAACTTTTTTAGTATCGTGACAGCAGCAGTTTCTCAAGAACAATAAAAGAAATGGGTGTATAAAAATCTACATAGTTTTTGTTTTATTTTTTATTGTAAAAAACAAGTATTAAATGATTTTTTACACCAAGCGAAAATAAAAACATTCATTCACACCAACTTACCATCACATACGGCACCGCTGCCAGAAATCGTTTTACACGCGGATTTGTGCTCGCCTGTTGACACAGTCGACTGCCTTGCCCCGCCCACAAGATGCGCGTCAACTTTCCAATATCCTTTTCGTGCATCCATATTCTTATAGTTGATAGTTTGACTGAAAAATCTGTGGAAGAAACAGAGGTAAAGCGAAATGTGTGTGAAAATTCAATTAACTGCACATTTGGGGAATGTAAACTTTAACAAACTACTTAATGTAGTTTTCTTAACTTATAGAAAGTACTTTTATCATTAAAACTATTTTTCGAGTATTCCCCTTTGGCTGTAACTCTACACTTGTGGCATGTTGGCATGCAATTGCGTTTGAAAATTTGCTACAAATAAAGGAAAATCCCTTGCATAGCTTCTTTAAGTATATTAAGTGCTGGCAAATTAATTTTGAGTGTTTTCCTTGCAAATATTTTTTTTTCCCTTTTACAACAAGAACTTGTATTATCGTTCCTAGGACATGGCTATGACCCAGCGTATATTAAAATAACTGTTTTCGGTAAAACGGTGGTACATGTAGGATGAAAAGGCCCATTGTGATACCATTGCACAGTGGTTCAAAAGCGGAATTTAGTGTCAACAATCCACTGGAGCCTTCATTTTTAACTCAATTTAATATTTTTTTTATAATGATAGCTAATAAAATTTTCAAGAGACCAGCTGAGTCTGAGTTTTGAATTTTTATTTAATTACAATTTTTTAGTAGCAATTTTGAAGAAAACTAGTTTTCCTGTTCCAGTTAATAAATGTTACATAATAAAAAGTATGTAATTGAAAACCCTTGTAGGATTCCCAAAAACGAAACAAAATTTAAATTTTATAAATTTTCACCAAATTGAAATTATTTTGTTATACATACTACAAGTTAATGATCTAGACTCTCGAAAACTGCATACCCAAAATTTTTCTAAAAAATTAAAAAAAAAAAATTTTTTATTTTGGTGAACATTTTTTTATAACATTTCAAATTTTTCTTGTGAAACTTTTTTTTTTAGTTTTGAAGGAACTCTAAAATGGTTTTAAACTAGTTTCTAGTATGTACTTTTTTAGCACTTTGCACTAAAAAATTGAATAGAAACAAACAAAAATTCAAATATCGGGCTCAACTGGTGTCTTTCGTGCTAATTTTATAAGCTTTCATTAAAAAAAAATATATATATATTTATCAAAATTAAGGCTCCAGTGTACTACGAACAGTGGCGACAGCTATTTGTTTCCTTCCATTCATTAGAAATGGAACCACCAAGTGGTCTTTGTATAGAAAACTAGTAGTAATTTCCAGGTACTCATGAAATTCGATTTGTAAGCGTCTGTGTCCGGAAGTAGTCCCGAAATGGTCCCGAACTAAACCCGAAAAATCCTCAGCTAGCCCCGAACTGGTCCCGAACTAGTCTCGAAATGTTTCTGAAAAAGTCCTAAATTAGGCCCAGCCTAGTTATCTTGAAAATCCAGAACTATATCGACGAGCAGCGTTGCAAGAAAAGCTGATTTTTTTTTTCAGTTGCACTTCGTCTGAATTTGTTTTGATTTAAGCTGCACCTCCTGGCCAAGATAAGGCAGTGTCAGAGATAGTGCTCGATGCTGTCTACTTCTTCCTCGTCTCGTCAGCTGCGACAAAAATCATTACTCCGAAAAATCTGAAAGAGGAGCGGTCAAGACGAATAAGAAGTGGTACATCCCTTTTTCCAACATTTGTCTAGTAGTCTGAAAAGAGGGTGAAGAAGAGGCATAATTTCCGATAAAGAGCCAATCTCTCTCTACGCCGACCTTCCAGCAAATGATCTTTGAAATTTGTAAAGTTCTAGGAAAAGGCATCGGTAGATTTACAAAGCGATTCTGGCAACTGTCTTTCAACTCACCACTTCACCGCAGTCATCGGTAATTCTGGCAACAATGTTGAAAGCTCTTTACCGTCTTTCGAAGGACTAATTGGTAGATCTGCCAACGAGGAGGTCTTAGCGTTAATCTGTTCGCCTTTTTGAAACGGGTTTTTTTTGAAATCAAACTAGATTAAAAAATGCGCATGTATATTAATAAAAATAATAAATAAATAAATAAGTAAATAAAATGAAAATAAATAAAGCATTTTTAAAACTTAAATGTGATTGAAAAAGTATTTTTTTTTTATTAATAGATTTGTAACATTATATAAGAAAAAGAAAAAAATAGATCAAAGAAGAAGAAAAGAGTACTTAAAAATTAAATAATATTTCAAAATAAAATTATCAAAAAAAAAACTAAAAAATAAAAGCACATAAAATTTAAAATAAGAGAAAATAATATAATAAAATCCTACAAACTACATGGAATTATAATCTATATATTTTCGTTTTTAAAACAATAAAATCTAAAACTTAAAAGGAAACGAAACTAATAAAAGACAAATATTTTTCTTTTTAAACTTTAAAATCTATAAATTAAAAGAAAATTTAAGTAACAGAAGAAATAATTTAAACCAAAAAAGAAAAAATAAAATAATTTCCTAAAAATTAAATTGAGTTCAAAAATATTCTTCTTTTCAAAAGAATAATATCTGAAAGTTAAAAAAAAATTATCTATAAATAAATAAAATTAAATTAAAATATATCTATATATTTTTCTTTTTAAAGCTACAAAATCTTAAAATTCTAAGAAAATTAAACGAACAGAAGGAAAGCAAATTACATTAAAAAAAGAAAAAACAAATAAAATAAGTACTAAAAATTGTAAACTATCGAAATATTTAAAAATAGATATTTATAGGCATTAAAAACGGAAAAATTTAATTCAAAAAAAGAAAAAATAAAGCAAGTTCCTTAAAACTAAATATAATTAAAGAAACATCATTCTTTTTAAGAGAATAACTTCTAAAAATTTATAGAGAATTCAATTAGGAAAGAAGCAAAAACAAAAAAAAAACATAAAATGAATACTAAATGAAATTAAAAAAACAAAAAGATTTTCTTTTTAAAATAATAAAATGCCAAAATTAAGTGAAAATTTTATTAAAAAGTTCTTTCCCAGAAGAAGTGCCACTGAGTTAAGACCTCCTGAGGCACCTCCTTGTGGTTATTTCCACCAAAAATCAGATATCGCCATTAGAAACAAATAAAAACGCGAGCTCAAAGTAGACATCGAAAAAAAGACGCGTAAAAAAAACTTCGGCGAAGAAAGGCTCAACATAGTTGACGGCAAGGAAAGACGCGTAAACTTATTTCCGCGGCCAATTATGTTTGCGAGTGTAATACGAGACGGGAGAAAGTGAATTAGCTTAAGGCAAAATATTTTTACAAAAGCAAAAGCGGAACTCAAAACCGTACCAAAGCGGAATAGTCTTTAATTTCCCGCGCAAAAAGTGAATAGTTGTTCATACGCCATGTAGACCTGGCCGCACGCTGCCAAAAAATATGAAATGTTGCTTATACGCCAAGGCATTTGTTTACCATAAAATGTGGTGCTTATAGGGAATTTACATGAGGCGATTTTTAATTGAAAGCAACAATGGCCTGGTGTAAACTGCCTTTCAACTAATCGCTTTCAATGAAGTTGGTCGGCTGCCTACTTTCGTTTAACCTTTGATTCAACTAATCGCCTGTGAAAGTTGAATCATGTAAATTCCCTATTAGACATATAGTTATCTATGTACATATGTAGTTACGTACCCCATGTAAGGCTAGGAATGCTCTACATACTAACGTAACATGTTTGTAACAGCCAATTCTAAATTTTTTAACTTACTCTAATTTTGAATTTGATGTCAGATGCTACACACACACCTCCATATTTACTTGCATATAAGCTATATGTATAGGAACAAATGCATGTAAATACTTGTTTGTATGTATGTATGTATAACTTATTGTTAAAACGTTCACATGCATTACCCCACCACTCAACTTTCATCTGACTGTTTAACTAATTGAAAAATTCAATTAGCTTATAAATAATTAATTCCTTGACTAAAGGAAAACGCAGTTGGTTAGTTTGCAGAGAGAAACGGCAACAATTCAGTTAGTCAATAAAATGTGTGCGGGCGAGTTCGAAGGTTAAGATATTGTTTTGAACAAAATATGGTAGACGAGCGTAAATAAAACAATTGCTTAGAAGTAAAATAATGCTTTCAATTGACCGCAGACTGTGGCTAGGGAATAGATTGTTGAAGGCATTTGTAGGTTGTGGTAAACAAGCAAATATATACGACTGACCTAAAAATTTCCATTGCCAGCATTGATTATTGCTACGCTATAATAATGAATCATCTGGGATATACATGCATTAGAATGCCTCACCAAAAAAAGTGGCGGCTTTAAAAAGGAATTGTAAAAGTTGCTAGAGTCTAAGACTTTGACCAAATACTTTCAGAAAACTATCAAGATTAAGTAAGCTGCTCCGATTTGAAAATATTTCCAAAAACCTCTCTATTTTGATGCCGTCGATACAATTTTTAAACATTCTTAAGCAGACCTTTTAAGCTCAAACTCTTCTTTCATCTGAAGGGATTTTTTGGAAAAATATATTTAAAAATCAGTGTGGCTTATGAAAAACTCAATTTTTGAAAGTATTTTCAAATCGGTCAAGCTCATCCAAATCTTAATATTTTTCGGAAATATTTTGGTGTAAATTTAAATATAAATAAAATATAATAAGTTTTATAATTCCGAAAAATAGTACCAATTTTTTTCTTCTGCATGAACAGTGCTCCAGACTAATGTACATATGTAATATAACAAGCGCAAACAAATTGAAATAATAACTTATTTACTTCCATCGCATAAACCCTGTCTTAATAGCTATTTTCATGTGAATATTCAAAACTAGAACATTTCAGCTGTTGCGTTCACTGAGAAAAAATCAAACAAATATTGGTTAATATTAACAAATTCAAACTTGAAAAGGAATCAATGAGATTTTTGTTTAATACGCAGCTTTAAAAAAAAGAGGTTCATGCATATTAAACTAAACCACTATATGCCTATGTTATTCGACGTCCTGAGGTCTGTTAGCCTCCATAACGTCAGGTTCGATGTCATTTGAAGGTGAAGGAGGGAAAAATGCATTCAAAAAATCTGAAAATTCGATACAATTCTTCTGAATTTGACCTTGGGATGACCATGGCATGTAGCTGGCCTTGAAGAATTACAAACAAAAAAAAATTGTATTGAATAAATTTGTTTTCCTACTTGACCTTCAAATGACCTCGAACCTGACGCTGAATAACTTAAGAATATAGAGGTTTGATTCAATATGCAGAAACACTTTTTTTTTTTTTTTTGGTAAACCTGTGATATTAAATAACAATGATATTTTCAACATTGGCTTGGTAATATTAACCACACTTTTGTTTAAGTAAAGCAAATTTTTGTTTGCCGATTTTTTTTCTTTGAAATGCGCTTATATTCTGCACTTCGCGGATGCTTTTTCATAATTCGCATTAATTAGTTTGTATACGTTTCGGGATTCCCCAAGATCATCTATGCACTATTATTACATGGATAGATGAAGCATGGATTTAAAAACCATTCGGAGAAAGAAACTTTCTCGACATCGCGGATATTTTTAACTGCCCGATAAAAGTTAAATCATAAGATAAGCTCGGGATTTTTACACCGTGATCTTTTCTAAATTCAGGAGCGGGTTAACAAATTCGTATTTAAGAATCATTCACATGTAAACTTACCAAAAAAAAACCTTTTTGTAAATCTCTGAGAAACGTTGTACCCGCTGGTGGCGGCAGACGATAAAAAAAAAATCAATTAGATAAGGACTTGGCATCATTTGGCGTTTCCAATCGGCATCAATAAGTGCAGAAAGAAACCAATAACGTCATTTATTGGATTCGGCCAACATATAAAACAATACACAGCTTCATTTGTAAATAAGTTTTGTCTTGGTTAGTAAGAATATCTCCTAATTTCCACTTCTTCAGATTGCCAAAGAACGAAGGGCATCCGAGAAAGTCGACATATCGATCCCTGATCGCGAAAATAATATATGATTTTTTTCGAAATCTACTTTTTGATGCAAAAATGCACAACATGCGAGATTTAAAAAAAAAAAAACAATGCTTAAGTTATTTTCACGGTTATTGCACGATATGCATGCGGTTTGAAAAAAACCATGAGACCGTCTAATGTTTGTTTGTTTAATTCCCTGAACCATCCAAGGCAAGCATCTATTCTGACAGCCAAGCTGCAATCAGGGCGCTGGTCTTACTGATCTTTCATCCAAAATTCGTCAGGTAGTGCCTGGAATCCCTCCTTATTGCATTGGAATATTTTCTAATGAGAATTGGTAAGAAACGATATCATTATGCTGCGATAGGGTGGGAGCATCGTTAAATAGCACAATGGGCGGCATGTAGCCTGTGTGCTATTTCCTGCACGCGTGGCTTGTGCAGATTATTAGACATTCGGGAAGAGAGGCTAACGTTGGGCAGTACCGAGGACACGCGAGGTGAGATTAAAAAGCAAATATCCGCTTTAATGCCCAGTTTTTATAAGATAAAAATTTAAGTATGTTGGCTCATATTTACTACGTAACCGATCCTGAAAACTCTCGAGAATCGATATTATATGGATCTATTTGACACCAAGTGATTGGCTCGTAGCGTTACATCGATACCACTGCAACATAACCTAACCAATTTGGGTTTCAAATAGTTTAGTAATTATTTTTGTTTCTTGTTGGTTCACGCTTAAAGGGATTCTGAAAATATTTATTTAGAAATAAATTTGAATAGGGTTGTCATCAGTTTAAAATGTTGAAATCAATTTAAATTAAAAGTAAAATTTTATTTTTTTTTTTTTTTTTTTTTTTTTTATTGAGCATTGTACCACGATTGTTTATTAGGAAAAATTGAAAAAAAAGTAAAACTAAATATTTTAATGTGCATATCAAGCGAGAGAACTTTAAGAAAGCTTTATTTGGAAAATAATTTCCACCTGTTTTTGAATTCAAAATGATTTTAATCAACAAGTCAAATGAAATATTTTGAATGGGAATCAAACTAACTGGAGGCCCGAGAAAGCTTTATTTCGAAAATATTCGTGAAGAGAGTTGCCACTTTTTTGCACAAGATCAATTTATTCAACAAGTTAATTTATTTCGGAAAATTTTTGACGAAGGTTGCCACCTGGCTGGAAATTCCAAATCAATTCAATTACTACGGTAAATGAAATATTTTAATATAGGTGTAAAACGAGAAAGGTTTATTTCAAAAATATTTTTGAAGATTTTTGCCAACTGTTTAATAATTCGAAATAAATTTGTTTGAGTTAAAGGAAATATCCTAAATACGGGTGTCATACGGGCCATGTTTAAGTTTGCTTTAATTCTAAAACACTTTCACCGCTTTATTTTTAAAATATTTTTGAATTAATTAGGATTAAATAGAACTTTGTGATTTGTGCGCAAAATTTCATGATGCACAGTTGAAGCGTGAAAGCGTAATAAGCAAACTGCATAAACTACATATATACGATGACAAAAGAACAACTTTAAAAATCAAATGAATAAAATTCTTGTAACACTTAAATGCACGTAGATTTGGTGATCGAAAATCGGCAACTAGCTGGAAACCGGCAAATGGGGTAAAAATTGCATCAAGTAAGTTTTTTTTTTATTTTTGTACAAAAAAAAAATACGTAGAAAATTTGAAGATTTTGGCTTAAACATTTTCGAATCTATTAGTTTCTCCATTTCAAATCCTTTTACGAACTTTTTGTACCATATTGATACGATTGTCCTTTAATTAATCGAAGACTCCCAAATCCTATGCCCAACAAATTTCTGTTGACTTAAATATTACAGCCGATCCTTTTAGGATTTGTCCCGTAGAGCCCGAATCTGATCTTGAAAATTTTTAATTGGCTCTAGTTTTCAAGCTACTTGGTTTTTTAAGGTGTCTTTGTCGTCTTCATTTCCGCTGTTAGAGTCAGTGTCCATCGGTATTTGGAGATTAATCCATGAAACCTCGAGTTCTACTTCAAATATTTGTACAGGATTTTTTTGATTTTGATTCTTAAAAGATAGTGTTTAGCCTTTCATATCCTGCTACACAGAAAGATATATTATATCAATTTATTATTTTACAGAAGCTCAAAAATGTCAAAAACGCCTTTTTTGGCTCCAAATTTCAGGCAACTAGGCAAAGGAAGTTCACTGCCGAAAATTACTTTTAAAAAAGTTTTCCTCGTCGTTTCATGCACGACTGCCCGATATCTCATCAGAAATAAAGGTGTGTTTGTGGACATTTCGATTTTTCTCATACTTGTCCACGACCTTTTACAAAAGCTCTTTTATGGTCCACTTGAACCGGTCCACCATGCCATCTGAGTGGGGCTGATGAGCCGTTATTTGAGTTTCTCTGATAGCCAGTATCTAGCACATTATTAGGAATAATACCGACTCAATGTCTCTTCCTTGATCAGAGTGTAGTTCTATAGGTACACCGTATGTATCTCGCAATCCAATTGTAAGTGAATACCTCCGCTACGATATTAGCTTTCTGCTTTAGAATCGTATATACCTCCATGTGCTAAAATACTCCATAATCCGCTCGAAATGGTCACTGAAGTTATACTTTCTCATCTAGCCGCGGGGTTTCACAATCCGTTGCTGATTAACAACAACCAACCCAATAGACCGTCTGCTTGACTTTCTCCAGAGGTGTCGTGTTTTCCAGCTGTCCTCCTTTGGGACCATTGTGGAATTCCTTGAGAACTTTTGGAATTCTTACTCGTGGAATTACTAATATATTTCGGCTGCACTGGCCATCTCCACTTTCCTATTTCACATACAAACAGCCAAATATCAACTTGTGCCCAGTATACCTTTGCGATAAAGGCTTTAGCTGCCATTTGCTCTTAAGTTAGCCGTCTCTTCATATCCAGTCCATGAAACAAAAGCTCCAACCAAAAAATTTTTTACATACAGCAGTCTATTTTTCGACACGTTCATACCAAAAAATCGACTAGTCAGATAGATTTTTTTTTTGTGTGTTTTTTCTTGATTAGAATTCTAAAGCCAGCTCATTAAAATTAAATTAAAAAATACCTTGAATTCTGATATTAGTAAATGTTAGTGCGTGGAACTTATGGTTTCCAGCTAGCTAATTAATCGATTTCGAAATATTACTTTCCAATTATAAATTTTAGTTGTTTTTTTCACATAGCTAAGTTTAAGTTTATTTTCCTACCATCTCCGTCTCGACGCTTTCGTCCTTGATTTGAAGCTTGTCCATTCATTGGTAGAACTGAAAAAGGAATAAAAAAACGTAATTTTAATAAAAAAAAAATAAGAGTATATATATAATATTTATTAGGAATACAGTTTCATTTAAAAATTCGAATTTATTAGAAAATTTTGTATTTTAATGTTTATCACTACATAGTTTAGATTATACTCTGTAATAAATGAACTTCAGTACAAGGGAAATAAATACAATAGCATAAATAACATTGCTGATATTCACTAAATTCCACCAAGAATCCATTTACAAAATCAATAAAACCAAATACTTCTGCTAGCGACGACCAACAATCGATACAAATCACAGGCTGCCAAATTAGTATTTCACCTAAATAAATTAGTTTATTTCCTAGGTGTGTCCTAATTGCTCACAAACACTTCGCTCACGTCAGCGATTCAATAAATTCGGCACCCACGTCTTTTAACAGCGCTTACCGGCCAATAACTGATTTCGAAATGTGCTTTTAGTCTACAAGTCGCCGGCCAAAAGGTGTCGAAAATTTCAATATACAACGTCATTACCATTACCATTAGCCATGTAGTAGCATATCGCCGCTGGCAACCTGAGTGACCAACAAATCAGCGGCTGGCCAACGTGGCCGTCTAGTTAGCCATCAGAGCAGGCAAGGTGCCGGAAGCCAAGCGCTGAAAGGCTGTTTGTATAGCTAGCAAGGAGAGAGGCGCACACTTTACTCTGGTGGACTCTAGCTTTTGTTGGTCAAAGTTAAATGCGACATTTCTTCTTATTTAAATTTGAGTGTAATGAAGTCCATGTAGTGAAAGGATTTTGACGTGGAACAAAAAACGCTGTTTCGATTATTTTATTTTTATTCTAGTCTTTTTTTTTTTTGGGTTTTCTGGTAGATCTGATCAACCGCCTAGGAAATTAAGTGCATGGCAGCAAAACAAAAACAAAGTCAAGCAGATAATCAAAATAGCAAGTAATTGTATAACATCTACCCATGGCACACTTTTAAGGCATTCAATGGAAATTGATTGACTGCTAAATTTATTTATATGTATATTTAGTCGGAAAGCCTTGGCTTATGCCCGATATAGGCAAATATGTAATTTATGTTTCCTATGAAGTGCCACACTCATTAGCTCTAACATGTTAACTTAACAATGTATTTGCCTTCTAATTGTTGCTCATATTTATTTATTCTGTGAGAAAGTAATTGACAGTTAATTTGACGAATAGTGCCATTGTGTGTACAGGAACCTACGTGGCCACCACTGCGTATACGTAATCGAAAGTACGTAAATTCCAGAAGTGTTGTGGTAACATTCACTGCTTCCCAGAGGCAGGATTTCAGTGCCGGCTTATGGCTGGCCACCATACTAGGGCGCCGTAGGTAAGGATTAGCCTTACGATAGCGGTGTAAATACACAAAATACATTTCGGTTTTAATCTCCAGTTTCTATTCGAGATGCTTTTACAAATTTTATAAGCGATTTTCACTTACGGTATAGTGATGTGCGGTTTTGATTGTTTAAAGAACCGGTTATGTTCAGTCCGGTTCCAAGGACAACCAGGAATCTGGACGGGTTCCGGTTCTCAAAAAAGTGTTAATGAATATATGCTTTATCGTAATAGCTTAAAACACAGTGAATTTCAAGTTGATAGCATCAAAAGTAACGAAGTTGCTGCAAGTCGGGCAGATCGGGTACAAGGAGGCTATTTGATAGATTGCCGCGAACCGAACAAAATTTGGCAGGACAACTGAGAACTCTATAATACATATTTAAACCGAATTTCGTGCTAATATTTTCATATTTAGATTTTATGCCAAAATACTCAAGATTTTGCCCATAGTGCGCTTCGTGGCCGAATTTTGGTTCTTTTGAATGATTTTTCAGTTCTTTTTATTTATTTTTTCGGTTATTCTGATATAATTTTCCCGTTCTTCCGGAACCGATTTTGTTCCAGCTTCTCCATTCTCCCTGTGGAGTACCACTGCTCACATATCTAGTTGCCAGACTATATCCGCGCCAGTGGAATTTGGAAAATCCTTTTCGAATATCTATTAACAAAAAGCCATTTAATCGAGCAATTTTCATATAAAATTATCATGGGTTTCGTAACAGATGTGCAAAATTATTGAAAAATCGCACTGGTTGACAACACAGTTCTTTATACTAAAAGAGTAAACAGTTTCAATATGTAATTCTGAAAATGGTGCGATGATATTTAAATTTTGTGTAGCATTTTCGGTAGAATTTCCTTCCTGCAGAAAAAAGTAAACTCATAATAATTTTTTTTATATAAATCCGGAAGAGTATTACTCATTATGTGCTATTGTGAGACTTAGTTGATTTAATTAATTGTTCCAATTTAAATTTAAAAACTGACCCCTCATAGAGCAAACTCTGACCCACACATTACCCTTGTACAACTTTCAATATATGAACACCAATATTAAATACATAAACATATGTATACATATTTATATATGGGCACCACTTGTGTTTCAAGTATCAGATATGCGCATATGTAAACACATTTAACTGTCAAATATGCCAAGGTCAAGTATTTTCATACCCATACCATCATTTGCATTTATGTACATACTTACGTAAACACTGAGTAAGGAAAAATGTTGGCTGTCGAAAATAGGTCTACAATTAAATAAATTTCCTATGCATTCTTGTAACTTTCAAATTTGGTGGGCGAAATCAGAGCCAAGGCTATACACATTTAAATTTACCTTCCTATCGTCTGTAAAAAGAAGCACGAAATAGTACTTGGCAAGGATGAGGGATACGTGTTGCTATACTCAAGAGTGGCAACAGTGAACCAATTTTGAAATCGTGCATTCAAAAGCTTTCGCTTTGAAAAAATATTATGTCCGGAATGAAAATAAGTTCGAAATGTTTTACGAATGTGGACAAATAAAAAAATTATATTTTTTTGAAAATTAGGAATTTCGAGACACCAAAACGTACTTGTATACCTCTAATTTTTTTCTCTACTAAAGAGTATATAAAATTACTGGTCCAAAGTATTAAAGAAGTCTTAACTCCGTTGAAACGAGACTCGATAACAAAGACCTAAGTAAATTTACAAAAATTTGCTTATTACGTTTTTTTTACTATTTTAGTGTCTAAGTTTACACATATGACATATATTTTTTTCAAATGTGTTGGCTCATAAGAGATTTTTTTGTGTGGTGGTTGGACATGGCGTAATGAAATCCATAATATCCTTATCTGTGAACGACTACATTTTTTCGGTCGTTATAATAAATGATTTCGGAATTTTGACTTTTTCATGTTCGTCGTGGAAACCATTTTCCACTTCAATTCAAAGGAAATGTTTTTATCAAAAAATCCTAGAGCAACATTACGCGTTCGAAAAATGCAAATATTTCGAAAGCTTTTCAATCGAGATGCCGTTATTTCGGATTGCTCGCGAATCGAAAAAAATTGTTTTGGAATGAATATGTATCTTTGAACTTGAATTTCGTATGCAGCATTGCTCCAAGTAAACAAAAGTGTGTGAAGTTTGAAGCGTCTTCACTAAAGAAGCAGCGAAAGCTGTAATAGTTTAATATAATCACCGAGAGCGTCGTAATGCGATTTTAATACTTCTGGGCAAAAGTGTTTGAGTATATATATTCGACAGTGTTTTTTCGCTATTTTATCCAATATTCTACAATCGAAATCGTCGATCTTCATATTTTTTGAAAATCGATTTAAGAGAAGCACTTAGCTTGAAAACTACTTTAAGCAGGTGAATCGCGACACAGTTTTTGAAAATGTCGCGGCAAAATCAAAAGCTTTAACCAATGTACACTTTTTAAATTACGAAACACCGATCAGCTTTTCCAAGGAGCGCTGATCTTTATCCTTGCCCTCCGTTTCTTGGAGCCTCTTACCGGCCCAATGCAAAACGAGTAATTCAGAAAACAAGTAGAATTGTGTAACTGAATAGATGTTTATTATAAACACTTATTTCCAATCAGACATTACATTCTTAATTACCTACAATTCATTTATGATCTGATGGGCTTGCCTTCGAGGCTGAGGAAGAAACCTTTCACTTGATTGATTTTTGTTTTATTTCTTGGGCTAAGTTTAATTGATTGCAAGCTATCTTATATGGCCAAAAGTATTGCAGTAATGAAACATACTAGCCAATTAAAAAAGTGAGTAAAACATTGGGTCAAAATTAACCCGAAATGCAGTGTGTTTTGCCTTGTAAGAAACAAATTAAAAAAATTTAAAAAATAATAATTTTCTTTTTAAGCGAAACTATATCCTCTGCACTGTGGTCCATTTTACAAATTGTTTGGCAAACATTATTTAAAGCTAAATAAGACGATTATCAGCCTTATCATGAGTTTTATTTCCCCCGAACTGGTTCACTTTTCGCTCTTGGTTTCCATGGTTTTACGATGGGCGGATGACAAATTTTTGGGTGAATTTTTTTTCAGGCGAAACTTAGGATAAGGCAGTATATGTGCTACCCTGCTTACATTTAATTCATACACTTCACACTTTTATTTCATACAGTCTTGAAGCAGAAATATTTCGAATATGAAGTAAAGGTGGGCAGGGTAATATAAAGCAACGTGGGAATTTTATTGATTGGCATATGATTTCCCACATTTTGTACAAAAAAAAAATAAGTTTTTAACCCTTGACAACCGAGAGGTTGAAGACGACTACTGTTTTGTACTTCGACACTAAACACTAATATAGGCGCGGTAGTGTATTGACGGCAAAAAAGGCGCGTAAGAAAATATATACGAAAATAGGCTTAGCAAGAAATGAGAGAAAAACCGTGCATGTCTTTCTCTTTAACTGTTTTTGATCCCAAACACAAAAAACTAGTTTTGGACTTGTACGGTTCTCGAACTCACCGATTCATTTATACAGTGACATTTTTTGAATGATCTTGCCAAGTTATACTAATTACTTTTGATAAACTGATACCCATGTTGAGCGAAACTGTTTTCATAAATTAAACATATTTATGTACGCTTCTATATTTCTCATTGTTGTATGCAGATTTTTACAAGTAATTTCCAATTTGCTATGTCCGTAAGCGCGTCATTAAGTTGTCAGCGCTAATTTTATGCACCTACCTGCGATGTCTATTAGAAGCTCTTTTTCAATGAAGACATGTATGTTTGTAAGTACGAATATTTTTGCCGAGCCGGTACTATCATACAGTATGTACTCTTCAGAGCTATTATGGAAATAACACAAGTATTCCGGAAGTCAAGCGGAAAGACCAATCTAAACATTTCCGCTATGCCATTCGCTCGATAGAAGAAAGAGGGCAAAACAAAATGTGTATATGTAATACTTAGCGCCACTTGTTGGCTGTAATTAAAAGAGTGTCGGTTTAGTTGCTATTATGAAGTATTTATGCATCGGCTTATGATTAGAATGTACACTAGGGTGGTCCAAACAGTAAAGTCGGTCTATAATGCCCCTAGGACTGTTCTATACCGAAAAAGTATACCCGTATTCTTTTATTTTGATATCAAAAATATTTAGAGGTCGCTCAAAGCGCTCAAAATTTTCCATGTACATATTTTTATATAAAATTTTTCATAGAAATTGTATAGAATTCTTTAAAATCAAATTTTTCGATCGGAAAACTCTGGTCCTCCTTAGGAGACTTTCAATAATAATACTAAGTTGTTTATTTAACCACTTTTTAATACTAACGATTTTTTATTGGTCGCCCCATCGCATTTTTCGGGGTTTCTGTGGGTTTTTGGCGGACCTATAAATTATAGTTGCGATGAAAAAATCGTTAAATAAACAATTGGGTATTATTATTGGGAATCTCCTGCAGATAAACAGAGTTTTCTGGTAAAAAAAATATTGATATTTAACAAACAACTTTTCGTAGAAATGGTATAGAATTCTTAAAAATCGATAGTTTTCGATCGGAAAGCCATGTTTATCTGCAGGCTAACAATACCTCATATATTAAATGCATCGAGCCCTAACCGCCAAAAAGGCGGAAGTGACATTTTTTTCAAAATTTCATTTTTGTTGCAGAAACGTATGGATTCCTACATTAACGTTTTTATATTTATGCATATCAATCAACCGCGTTAGTATCAAAATACGCTTTGAAATAAATTTTTAAACATACATGTAATTAAGGTTTGCGTGTTGTCTTTACATGCCACCCCATAAAAACGAAGGACATAATATTTTTGTTTACGCATAAGCAAATCCAAATACGCAATATTTCTTGTCACTTATTTACTCGTAGTTTACCTAGAAAACGTAGTATCTTTGTTGTATGTTTGTATGTTTCATATGTTATTTGAGCATAGCAGTGTAAAAGTTCCATATTTTGCGTGACTTTCGCCGTAAAAATTCCGAGTGAATATGTCGTGTGTGTGAATTTTTCATATGCCATTTAAGATTCCCAAGTGGCGGTTTTAGTCAATTAATTATCACTACATAGTTTATTTGGATTTCAACAAATTTTATTTAATTGTCATTTATCTTTTTATGAACTGATCCATCGGGGGTGTGACGGGCAATTATCGGTATATCTGGGGTATGTAAATTAGTGAAGTAGCTAATATAGTTTATGCATTTGTAAGAAATTAGAGTTTTATATATGGCGGCTTGGGAATCGTCTATGGAAGAAGTTAGTTTTGAAAAGGAGGAGTCGCAAGCAGAAGCACTTTATGACTAGTGCCTATATATATGCTAGTACATCCCCGATCAACTTCGATGAACAACGTTCAAGATATGTATATGCAAATGCACAAAAGTGCAATAATTTTGCATATATACGAAGAAATTTCTTTAGTAATACGTTTTTCATATGCTAATTGCTTTATCCCCACTGGAGTTTTCTCAATCGCCCGATGCTCAGCATAAATTACAACCATAAAGTTAAACTAATTGATGGTTACTTTTGGGAACTCGGTGGGTATTTCATTCACACCCTAGTACGATAAATCAAATTACTTTAATTTATATTATTTGAACTAAAACATTCAGCCAACATTACCAACCAATATTAACCCAATCACGACAAAAAAAAAATTATTTACCCTTTCACAACTTTAAGGCAAACATACACATATTTACCGTACTACTTTGTCATCTTACTGTTTGAAAAGTGCACTCAAATTTTTCTCTCTTGTTCGTTTTTACCAACAAACTTCAAACGAATTGTTTTTTTTTTATATTAGCTCCTTAGAAAAAGCGCTTTACTCGCTTAACGCAAAACAGCGATACTAGGTATATACATATTGAAATGAAGGCAAAAAATGTCCATTTATTTATTTCACTTTACCTCAGCTTGACCGAAATTTTGAAAGGTTGTATTAAGCTCAATCATTTTTTTCAAAAATTATGGAAATTTCGCAATTTTCACAAACTATAGCCCAATGAAAAAAATGTATTAGCGTATTCCGGATCAAAATTTAAACTTTGGCATAGTTAAAATTTATTTTTGCCTATGCATCCCTGCACAAGGGAATGTATAGCATTTGTATGAACCAGGATCAGGTAATTTTCCCAAGATATTTCCATTTTATGTTTGCATCGCGAATGAAAAAAAACGAACTCTAACATGGAAAATGTTACTCATACGCCATGTATGAGCACGGCCAGGTACGATATGGCGTATGAGTTACATTATGTCCTGCTCATATTTAAACAAAAAAAAAAAAAAAACAAGTAATTTTTAAGCAAAAAATACAGCCGACTTCAATTTTCATTTAAAAATTTAGGAGTGCCGTTAATTTTTTCATGATCCAATGATCGGATCTAAACCAAATTAGTATGGGACCACGTGTGAGACACTACCTTCCCGATAGAAATCGAAATCGCTTGACATGGTCCAAAGTTATGCGGTAACATACAGAAGAAAAAAAAATAAAAATATTCCGACGAATTGATAACGGATAAGGAGACGTCCTTTTTTTGAAGTCGTTTAAAAAATTATTACACATTTTTTTCACCATTCAAAACTTGTTTATTTATCAAGAAATTTTTATCGTTACTAGCTTAATTATTTGGCAAATGCACAGGCTTTAAAACAAATGAAACAAATTACAAAAGACTTTTAATTTTTGCCTTGTTAAAGTTTAATTTTTTCCACATAAAAGTGAAAATATCTTGGAAAAGTTTCCTTATCTGGAAAAACGATGTACAATTGCACACACGCCATTCGACCATTTAAAAATTTTTTATCAATAAATTTTCTTCGTTGATAGCTTGATGTTTTTGTATTTAACACAAATGAAAAGAATTTACAAAAAATCTTTTATTTTCAATGCAAATTTTAAATGAAAATATCTTGCGAAAAGGACCTGATCTAGACAAAAAAAAAATGCTGCAGGGTAGATTCTCTACCAACTTGTATTCAACCTTTTTTACGAAAACTGCAAAATAAGGTCGCAAATCGAAAAAAAGAAACCCTTAGAATCCGAGTTGGCAAAATTTTACCACATGAAATTTAGGAGTAAAACTCAGACTCCATTATCTACGCATAAAATAGTAGTACACTACCTCAAATGTTCCGAATTCCAATTTTTTTAGTAAAAGTTATGGAGAGCTAGTGAAAAATTGCTATTTTTAAAGATTTCGACAAAAAAACTCACGTTTTACGGATAACAATAACAAGGGGCTACAAAAAAATAGTTGCATGTACTTTTTCAGTCATGCAATAGAGGTGGAAGAACAGGCCTAAGAAATTATTTTGGCATTACCAGAATTTCACATACACCCCCAAAATCTTAAATTACCATCGATTATACCCCAATTCTCTAACTAGAAAACTACTGTTCTACCTTTTTTGTATTAATTGCGTTGAATCCTCACAGGCAGTTACATTTTTGGATCTGATTTTTGAGTTTTATATTTAGCATTTTCATATGGATTCATAGGCATGGCTAACCCATATTCGCAGTTTCTTAATTTTGGGCATAGTTGTGGATTTTTTTATATTCTAGAGTCATGCGCGAATGGAGGCCAACTAACATAAATACTTGCAAAAATGTCTCTGGTATCACAAGTGGCTAGGACATTCCGAGTCGGTTTACCTTTTCGATGAACTTACTCATCTCAATAGAATTTTGGTCTCAGTATCCCTATGTGGGTAAAACCGATTACAGCGATGACTGTCGGAAACTTATATTTCCTTTGCTATAACTATTTCGCTTCGTGGAGAAGAACAGTCGAGCGGAAGGCGAAGCAGACGGGTATATCTAGATCTTTAAAAGCACGAACAACGAACCTCTATGAGAAAAAACTTTTTCTTTCCTTTTGTTTTTGGTGTTAGTCGCAACGGTCCCAGGCCCTGCGGAATGGTAGTGCGCACTTCTAACTACTATACACACAGATATTGAGAAAGAACCCGTTTCTTTATCCACACAATTTCATTTTACTTGTACTTACATAGTATATACCTTAATAAAGATAATGTCCTCAACACCTTCGAATTACGCACAACTTAAGTCATTTATTTCACAGCACCAAAAATAAATAAAATAACAACCAAAAAAAAAAACTTGCAATTATTTGACTTTCTTACTCACCTTTCGGCGGCGATGAGTGATAGTATAATCCTTGAAACCTTCGTCTACGTTTTGGTGGCATTGCGCTCTATATATATATATGTATATGTACGAACACTATCAGTTGATGCGGTAGTTGTTAACGATGCTGTCGCTGAACGCGGTACAAGCAAATGCCAATGCAATTGCGAGAACGACACAGTCGACGATGCACTTTAAAGCACATTCAAGCGAGGCGAGCGAACGGCGAAAACTTTCCGGCAATAAATCATGCGGATAAATTTATGTGTATGTAAGTAAAATATGACAACACCCACTCAAAAGGTATACATGGGCAGCAACAATGCTATTATTTTAATGTGGAGCAGCCGTAGGAAACAGACACACGCACACACACACACTATTACTACGCGCGTATAAAACGAAACGAAGGGACAAATGAGCGTGTTGCTCATTTACCTACAGCAAGCCGAAGTATATATATTTTTTTTTGCTTTTCAATTATTTTCAATTATTTGCTGTCAGCGGTGGACATTCAAATATACAGCAGACATACATACTCTTTGGTATGTATAGTGAGAGTGTGCATGTTTGAGTGTAATTTGCTATTATTTTTTTCCTATACACACATGCACATCATAACAAAATACACGAATTTGCAGTCCATAGTTGACCGCGTGGTCATTAGTGCGGGATTTTCCAGCACGTTTGTATTTAAGTAAGTAAGTATGTAAAGTGTCAGCTGTTTGATATTTTAGCAGTTTTTGTTGTATGTGCTTAAATGCCTTCTTTTTTTTATTTGCTTACTTGCTTTTGCATTTCGATGGAACTCAATCGGATTTCCGAAAAAATACCTATAAATGCATGTGTGCTGCTTTTAACGAGTTTAGCCCAACAAATTCATATATCTCCACACATCTTCTTTTTTTTTATAATTTTTACTCACGGGCATTCACTATGCACACATAGCCTTTTTTAGTTTGCACACTTTTGTTTTTTTTTATAAGTTTTATCTNTTGGTGGCATTGCGCTCTATATATATATATGTATATGTACGAACACTATCAGTTGATGCGGTAGTTGTTAACGATGCTGTCGCTGAACGCGGTACAAGCAAATGCCAATGCAATTGCGAGAACGACACAGTCGACGATGCACTTTAAAGCACATTCAAGCGAGGCGAGCGAACGGCGAAAACTTTCCGGCAATAAATCATGCGGATAAATTTATGTGTATGTAAGTAAAATATGACAACACCCACTCAAAAGGTATACATGGGCAGCAACAATGCTATTATTTTAATGTGGAGCAGCCGTAGGAAACAGACACACGCACACACACACACTATTACTACGCGCGTATAAAACGAAACGAAGGGACAAATGAGCGTGTTGCTCATTTACCTACAGCAAGCCGAAGTATATATATTTTTTTTTGCTTTTCAATTATTTTCAATTATTTGCTGTCAGCGGTGGACATTCAAATGCACAGCAGACATACATACTCTTTGGTATGTATAGTGAGAGTGTGCATGTTTGAGTGTAATTTGCTATTATTTTTTTCCTATACACACATGCACATCATAACAAAATACACGAATTTGCAGTCCATAGTTGACCGCGTGGTCATTAGTGCGGGATTTTCCAGCACGTTTGTATTTAAGTAAGTAAGTATGTAAAGTGTCAGCTGTTTGATATTTTAGCAGTTTTTGTTGTATGTGCTTAAATGCCTTCTTTTTTTTATTTGCTTACTTGCTTTTGCATTTCGATGGAACTCAATCGGATTTCCGAAAAAATACCTATAAATGCATGTGTGCTGCTTTTAACGAGTTTAGCCCAACAAATTCATATATCTCCACACATCTTCTTTTTTTTTATAATTTTTACTCACGGGCATTCACTATGCACACATAGCCTTGTTTAGTTTGCACACTTTTGCTTTTTTTTATAAGTTTTATCCTTCGTGTACTGGCATTATAATTTGCTTGATTGCTCATTTGCGCATTGCTGTGCCCCGACACCCCGCTCCACAATTTGCACTGCACTTACACCTTTCTTTAATCTCTCGCACACACACTGCCAACTAAGGCTGTTAAGCNCCGAAGTATATATATTTTTTTTTGCTTTTCAATTATTTTCAATTATTTGCTGTCAGCGGTGGACATTCAAATATACAGCAGACATACATACTCTTTGGTATGTATAGTGAGAGTGTGCATGTTTGAGTGTAATTTGCTATTATTTTTTTCCTATACACACATGCACATCATAACAAAATACACGAATTTGCAGTCCATAGTTGACCGCGTGGTCATTAGTGCGGGATTTTCCAGCACGTTTGTATTTAAGTAAGTAAGTATGTAAAGTGTCAGCTGTTTGATATTTTAGCAGTTTTTGTTGTATGTGCTTAAATGCCTTCTTTTTTTTATTTGCTTACTTGCTTTTGCATTTCGATGGAACTCAATCGGATTTCCGAAAAAATACCTATAAATGCATGTGTGCTGCTTTTAACGAGTTTAGCCCAACAAATGCATATATCTCCACACATCTTCTTTTTTTTTATAATTTTTACTCACGGGCATTCACTATGCACACATAGCCTTGTTTAGTTTGCACACTTTTGCTTTTTTTTATAAGTTTTATCCTTCGTGTACTGGCATTATAATTTGCTTGATTGCTCATTTGCGCATTGCTGTGCCCCGACACCCCGCTCCACAATTTGCACTGCACTCACACCTTTCTTTAATCTCTCGCACACACACTGCCAACTAAGGCTGTTAAGANTAACAAAATACACGAATTTGCAGTCCATAGTTGACCGCGTGGTCATTAGTGCGGGATTTTCCAGCACGTTTGTATTTAAGTAAGTAAGTATGTAAAGTGTCAGCTGTTTGATATCTTCGCAGGTTTTATTGTATGTGCTTAAATGCCTTCTTTTTTTTATTTGCTTACTTGCTTTTGCATTTCGATGGAACTCAATCGGATTTCCGAAAAAATACCTATAAATGCATGTGTGCTGCTTTTAACGAGTTTAGCCCAACAAATGCATATATCTCCACACATCTTCTTTTTTTTTATAATTTTTACTCACGGGCATTCACTATGCACACATAGCCTTGTTTAGTTTGCACACTTTTGCTTTTTTTTATAAGTTTTATCCTTCGTGTACTGGCATTATAATTTGCTTGATTGCTCATTTGCGCATTGCTGTGCCCCGACACCCCGCTCCACAATTTGCACTGCACTTACACCTTTCTTTAATCTCTCGCACACACACTGCCAACTAAGGCTGTTAAGCGAATTCGCTGCTTGCCATTGCCGTTATTGTATGTAGGTCCTTTGTTAATGCTCTATTCGCACATGATTCACTACCGGCGGCGTCGGCGATGGCGGAAATAGCAACGGAAACGTGTCCACGAGCTTTGACGGTCCTATGGCGTTTGCTGTCCATATGACTGTCTTCGGTAAATTTATCATCAACTCCGCAGCTCGAAATTATGGGGCGGAGAATTGTGACAGCGAAACATAGTTACTGCCCACAACGAAACGGCAAACGACAGTGGACACGAGCAGATACGAAATGCCTGTGGTTGCACATTGGCAATTAGGGGAGGGCAAAGCAGTGGAAAAACAAACAGAATTGTCTATTGGCGTGTTGCATTCACTTTACTCGCGCTACTATCGCCTGTTGGTGTGGAGATGTCCGTTAGTAGTGACATGTATGCGCGCGTACACTTTTTTATTGCATTCGCAAGCCTTTCTTGGTTGCTGGTTCATGTATGTCAGCTGCGTTCAGCTTTTTTTTTTACTTTTCACAGCACTAACGTATTAAAGATTTTGAGTATGTTACAATTTTTCATAAATATATTTTTTCGCTCCGTATTTATCATTTCAGTCATTTGATATTTTGCGAATTATTTAGTCTTTTTACTTCTCGTCTGTCTTCATTTTCATATCACTTCCAATGTTTAACTGCTATTATTTTCATTTTCAGAGAGCGCATGCGATGCCATTGCATGTCGGAGACGTATACGCACTGTGGTCCCAACGGGTGAGCTCACTTTTAACACTGTTGTGCAATTATCGCTCTCGTTTAGTTTTGTTGCTAAAAATTGGCAGAAGGGGTTAAAGTGGGAACAAATTTGAGTAGATTTGGTGTTCTCGTTAATTAGACTTACAGAGTATGAGTTCATTGCTCGATTCGTTGGCAATACGTTGTAGTTCATTTGCTGCCGGCAATGCGTGGTTTTGCTCCATTTCATTTACAATTACTACAACATTAACTCGGACTGCAATCTTTTTGTCTTAGCGTTTTTTAGACTAAGTGAAAAAGAACGGTTGGAAATATGTAGTTCGGGTAACTATAGAAAAATTTCACGAGCAATAATTTTATAGAATATTTTAACCAAGTAGCTCTCTCGCCGAAGGGTCGTTTTGACCGCTTTTCGAGATAGTTTAACTAAAATGGCATTTGCTTGGACGCTAAAAGGTTAAAATATTCTAAAATGTCCACAAAAAAATAAAACCAAATATGTCCCCTTGGTTTCTGCAACAACCTTTTATGCTTTCTTTTATATTTTGTTAAATATAACTAGAGATCGGATTTGTATGCAAAAAAATAAGACTAAAAATATGTGCCATCATAACTATATATCACAAAATACAGTCAGCGTCAACAATATGAGCACCCTGACGGTTTGACCATTTTATTTATTTATGTTTTCCATACCAAATTTTTCTTATTTTTTTTATAAAAATATATAAAATATTTTTTATATAAATATATATAATGAATGAATTATTCAACAGCGAAAACCCCAAGAAACAATTTTTTAATTTCATACAGATTTCGGGAAAATGCAAGAAATACCAAAAAGTTTAAATCAAAATCTTAAATTTTTAAACTCGATTTCTTAGAAGAATTTTGACTATGCAATTTTTTAATTACGGTTGATATTTAAGAACTTTTTTTGTAGAGAGTGTTTCGCATTTTCTTCCATAAAACGCATGAACAAAATCTATTTTATACGGTAGAAAATGCGCAACACCCACGACAAAAAATATTCTCTAAAATCAACGGCAATTTTTTTAATGGGCTACGAAATCGAATTAAAAAATTGATAATTTTGGTGACATTTTTTTTAAATTTATTCTATTTTCCAGAGTCATCATAAAAAAAGTAAAAATAAGAAATAAAAGTAAAAATAATATATTCCGACGAAGTGATGACCTTCTCCTTTTTTGAAGTCGGTTAAAAACAAGTAAATTTTTATACGGAAAATATAAACAAATAAAATCGTCAAAATGTCAGGGTATTCACATTTTTGACGCTGACTGTATATAAATTGATATACATTTTTCTTTTACTTAATATGTATGGTGCATATTTTTAGGCTTATTTTTATCACAAGAATCCGAGCTCTAAATATAACTCTAGCTCTGCACTAAAACTTCCTCTTTTCTAACTGTTTTGGCAGGACTGCAAACCACTCCAAAAATCGGTGCAGTTCGGTTCAGTCGTTCGAACCACTTAGAAAAAACTTGTACCCGCTCAATAAAAAAAAAAAACAAACAACCGCAGTTTTCAAAAGGTACAAATAGTTTGATTCCTGCTTATCTCACATATTTCAAGTTTCATTATACTTCATTTCAAACTAAATTCTCAAAAACAAAGCCACCTACCACATATAAACGGCCCACTGTGCATTATCCATTTGTACACGGCAATCTGCCAACCTTCCACCAGTTGGGCAAAAACAACTATAGCGAAGTGCTAAATATTTAATAATGCTTGCATTGCATATGGGCCTCTTGCCCCTCGAACCAAAGACACTCGGCCATATTCTGTTGACATCCATTGACATCCATTCTACGTACAAACCAACAACCCATTCGACCGATGACGAACTAACACAATACAATTTGACATATTTAACATGAATGTATGTACATATGTATGTATGATTCAATAGAAAATGCACTGCTGACCTGTGGTTA